ATTGTCACAGTCGCATCACTTTTTAATGTGCAAGCTGAGTGAAGAGGAGTGTTCATGTGGTCGTCGAGAGCATTAGGATCTTCGCCGTTCTTTAACAAACTTTTAACAAGTTCTGGATCTTGATTTTTGCATGCAGAGTGCAACGATGTTCTTGAGCGATTTTCAGTATGATTGATGTTTGACATTGTATCTGAAATTAGTACTCTACGGCGACTGAAATTAATGGAATTGTATTTAATATATTGATATCCTGCAGGAAGTTCTACCCTTCTTAAATAGAAGTCTAAATTTTCCACGTGAGTATAATAAGAAAATTCTTTGCGATCGTAATTTTAGATACTAACTCGACTTTTCTTATCGTATGCTGAACTCTACAAATGGTCCGTTCACTGTCGATTCGACGTAGAATTTTGTACATTCCCTCACACTGTTTCTGTATCCTGTGATTGAATCGAATTTTTCTGCTTAATAATTTTATGCACATTAATTTATGTTTTATGCAAATTCTTGTTTAAATTACTTGAAACTCACAGTAGCTTGTTATAATTTAATATAGAATAATAGTTTAAACCAGCAGACACACGCGTTTATAGGAGCTTGAAAAAGTCAAACTACTGAGGGAGTGGTTACACTGTTGCACTAACTCACCACGTTATACTGAAAAATACGGACCTATGGAGTCAAACTTATTAGGAAAAAATATTTTAAATGTCCATTCCCCACTATACAATTTTCCGTCCTATTCATGCGCAGCGGTTCAATTTTGTATTGTGCGCTTTCGCAGGTAATAAGCCAGCCTAATAACAAACATCTGAAGGGTACTTTTCTCTATTCGACTATCTCTGTTCTAACTAGCAAGAAATTATTATTGACAAACTTCCTTTAACTAATACTATAAGTTTTAACTATAAGTACACTTGGAAGAAAATTATGAGTGACTTGCAGATGTTAAAGAAAGATTAAAAGGAATCTTCTGTCTCTAAAGGAACACATGTTTCGTTACTTTCTAAACAAATTTTGACAATTTGTCTTTATGAAAATTCTTTTAAAGAAGAACGAACTATATGTTTCTATAAGGACAGAAAATTCCTTCCAATCTTTTCTTAATCTTCTACTATTAAATTCAGACACTGTCTCATAAACTTTCCGTACAAATGACTCGTCCGTAGTAGTGGCCAAATCAATGTAAGACTAACGGCAGACTTACGTATGTTAGCCTAAGTTTGTCATCGACGTATGTATCTGTCGTTTTTCCGAAGCAGACAAACGTAAGATTTTTGTCAGAAAAATTTAACGTCAAAAATGAATGGCAATCTGATGCAGAACAGAAACAAATGTACATGAGTCTGACGAAAATTCTGACTTCAGGACTGGCTACTAATATAAGGGTAGTTGAATAAGACAATTAACTTCACATATTTTTTATAACATGTTGGTAAAGCTACATTTTTCCAGTGCAAATTGTTAAAATATTGTATGTTTTATAATATTTTTCAAATTCAAAGTGTAAAAATCTCTTTTTGTGTCATATTCGGTTCTGCTCTGAGCGCCTTCGAGCAGAAATCGATGGATCGATTTTACTCAACGGCGGCAAACCGGTTGATTTGAAAATTAATATTTGTCTTTATCATTGTTATTTCTAGCTTCAATATTAGCATGATATTATAGCAATAATTGTGCTATACTTAGAGCTTATTAAATTAAAGAAAAATGAATTTAATTCATATAAAAACAATTTTGAATATTATATTATTTCGTGAATGTGAAACCAATGTTTACTGAAAAATAAATGACTTATTAAATAAGTGCATGTTTTTTTAATAATAGGTATTACTTTAAAAAAAAATGAAAACCAAGTTGAAAAAGTCTCTTTCAATATTTTATTGAAAAATGATTAATAAAAACATAAATTATGCATGTACTATTTTATGTATGTATAATATATATATATATAAATGTATTTATATATATATTTATATTTGTTTTTTATTAGTATTTCTAAAGTTTTTTTCTTTTGAATCTTCTCAATGGTGATAACAAAAAACACTGTAATTTACAATCATTGTCATTTTTTCTCTTTACTTGGATGGATAATATTGTTTATTTGGCTAATATGTATTTAATCATTGATTTTCATATTTTACTTAGAATATAAAATAACACAAATAGAAAAAAATAAGCATTTCTCAGTAATATATAGTGTTTAATCTATCACGTGATGTTGATGGTGTATACAACATTTGTTTTTTTTTACAAAATTATTTATTATCCATTTCATTATTAAAAGTAATATTATGCAATTTTTAGTTAAAAAAAATTTACAAGAGTAAGCATACAAGTTTTATCAACTATTATTAAATGGCACAATTATTTAAAATTTGATATCTCAAAATTATTATTTTTTTTTCACCACAATTATTAAAACAAAAAATAAATTTAAGATTTTGGCGATATGACTTCGTCCAAATGCCCGCATTTTTTTCGAGTCGCAAAATTTTTTTTTTAAACAAAAAAAACTACCCTTTTTCGAAATACAATCTTTGAATAGGTTACTTAATTGATGCAAAGATTTTTGCAATTCGCATTTTTAATTTAATAAATAAATTTAATCTCATTTTAATACAAAAAAAAAAATGAATAAAACTTTGTTAAGTGCGTCAATATTATTAACAAAAATAAACCCATGAAAAAATATTTCAGATTTTATACATAAAAAATATTTTAATTTCAAAAATATATATAACTTTTTGCCCAAATAAATTGTTAGGAAAATGCAAAAATTTTAGCATCGTTTTCAAATTTTCACGTGAGAATTTATCGAAATATACTTCTCTTGAGAACGACATAGGATCTTTTTTTACAATTTACAAATATAATTTGATACATCTTTGAAAAATACATTCACTCCTCGTTCAATCATTTTAAATTTGTTCAATTAAATTAAATGTTAATACATGTTGATTAGTTTTAGATTGAAATAAAAGAATATATTCCATCAAAATTTATAAACAAAAAAATATTTAAATAAAATCCTAATCACATGAAAACTTTTACAAATGATAATATCGAGGATTAAATATGTAATTGAAAATATAAAATACTTAGAGATATGTGTTTAATATATAATTAGTCAATTAACATTTATTCGATTTTTAAGTATTGAATGAAAATTTTTCATATTAAATTACTAAAAAAAAGATAAGTTTTAAAAACCAATAGAAAATAAATGAAAAAAATTTAACAAAAATATTCCTCCAATCATTTTTCAATGAGTTATTCAATTCGTCTTAATGATAAGATATTTAGTAAATAATTCAAATTTCCATTTTTCTAAATGAAAATAATCCTTTACAATTTTTTATTGCACACGTCGACCAAATAAAATAGTCGCTCGTTTGAATGTATCTAAATATTCAATGTCTCAATTAATGAGTTTTGTGATGTATCATTTATGCGTATATTACAATGGTTAATCTAATTGTATCATTGATCTTCAATTGACCGACCTGAGATCCATCATATTTGTCGGAATATTTCAAATGATTAGATTCAATGATTTATTATTTAAGACTTACATTGTCCGTTTCCTAGCACCTATTTAGCACATACAAATACATACTTATATTAATTAATATCTAATCATCTATATTCACATTAATACGTCAATGTCAGTAGTTTAAAATATTATTTAAACACGAACTGCCAAGATGATGATTTATCGTTCAATCATTACAAATCATGGCATGAATATATTACAAATGATAATGACGATGTCCTTTAATTAATTTTCAGACATAAGAATTTGTGTCCAAAGAAAATAACAAAGGTAAATATTGATTGAATAATCTTATTTCAAATCTTCTTCAACATTAGTAAAGAAAGATTTGCTTATCAATTGATTAACGCGAAAACAATAAATTATCACTGATTATTTACGTGATTAATAATCTTTAAGGCAACAAACTTGAAATATTAAGCTAATACTTTATTTTGAAGGCTCGAAAATTATTTTTTATGTTTCGTGTTTATTATTATTTTAAAGTATACTCCTTAAGTAAGCTGAAATTACTAAGATAGTATACTGGCACTTAAATTTTCATTTGGCTCTATTGGGAGACAACTAATTTCCATTTGTTGCGTTGATGTTTCAGGTAATTGTAAATTACTCTCATTCACAGTAGAATTAGAATTTAATTTTGATTTTGATTGATATTCTATGCTGTCAATTTCAGCCCAAATTGTGCGAACTTCTTTAAATAGCTGAAAAATATATTAATATTACGTTTATTATTTAAATAATTTCGAATAAATTATATTTAATATTTCGATAAAAATACTTGTTCAATTAATTTATAAAAATTTTACTCTTTATTGGTCAACAGATGAAATTTCCATAATAAGAATATATTTTTACCTGATTGAGCCACGCTTCATCAGCTAATAATTCATTTAAAATAATCGTCGTGTCTTTTTTAGGATCTTGCAATCTTTTATCGGCGACCCTCCTGGCGCATTCAAGGAACGTAATATATTTTTGATGCGTAACTTTATTAAATAAAGCTACTTTCGTTTGGCAAACTCTACATAGTAAAAAGTCCTATAACAAAAAACAAGTTTAGGACTTGATTCAATCACTGTTGTATTGACTTTAAAAAATAATCGAGCTTTTTAATATATGTTGTTTTCAAAATAGTAAAATAAATTTCAAAATTTTACCTTTTCATGCTGCACAGAAGGATCTGGTGGAGATCCTTCTAAAGTAGTTGCATTGTACGGTTGTCCATACAGCAATACTCTAGCGTAAATTTGATTATAATCACATCCAACACACTGTTTTCCTTTACATTCAACGTTAGATAAATCCTTTAGTACGTTTAAGCAAGGCCACGTAGATATCGCTGTAACAACATTTGGTTGCCACTTTGTAGTTGATAGTAAGCGGTTTTTTCGATCCTCCGTTATTTCATCAATCATTTTAACATTTGACAAGAAATATTCATCTGTAAGATCAATTAATTATTAATTTTTCATGTATATATGTACATATTTAAAAATAGAGAAAAAAAATTTACCTTGCTCTTGAAAAATTTCTGTTAAAAAATTTGAATCCAACGCTTGACTTATTAATGTTTGTACATAAACTTCAAAGTTATCTTGATACTTTTCGTTGTCTTTCATTGATCGATGGATACATTCTCTGTAAAATACAAAAGAAATTTTTCAATATAAAAAATAATTTAAAAAAAAAAAAATGCGATTATAAAAAGATTACTTACTTATCATCAATTATCATCTCATCTCTTAAAAATTCGACAATTGTTTCCAATTTTCCTTGTTGCCAAAACTTAACAGGAACTTGTTGATATAAATGACGATTTTGTGGAGTCCATCCAGAGTACTATATAATAAAAAGAATTTAGATTTTCCACAATAAAATAAAAAAATTATATAAAAAGTTGAATTTGTTTCTTTGTCTTACCGTAGAAATATTTCGATATAGCATTTTTCCGTTAGAATTAAATGGTTCATATTTTTGTAACAACGTTTTACCATCTATCCTCCAAAGTGCGGGATATTCTTCTTCTAATTCAGTTTTTATAACAACAAATTCTCCAGACTAAAAATATTTAAAAAAATTTTATATATAACTATTTCAAAATACGAAAATAAAATAAAAATATATACATATATTGATATTGACAATATAAATATAATGAAAATTCAATAAAAATTACCCCATTATCTATATCCTCAATATATCGCTGCATATAATGAAATTTTAATTGTTTTATCACATACTACTAAATTAGAAAAATAATTAAAAGATTAGTATTAATTTACAAACCTTGAATGGTGAAATATCGATATCTTCATCGCTAACAGAGGCCAATAGTTTTTCGTCAATTTTACATGCAAACTTCGATACCATATTTTTCATATCTCCTTTTTTCCTCCCTTTTCTCGGCATTAAATCACTCGACAAATAATCATCATCGTCAAGCATTTTTCTCGTTTTCTTACTTATTACAGGACGACCACGTTTTTTCTTTTTTTCTTCATCATCGCCTGTAAGTTTAGCCGCAGGCGTCCATGCAGGATCTGAATCAGAATCTCCCTGTTCATCATCATCAGAATTCTCAGCAAGTTGTTTAGTGGAAATTTTCTCTTTTGCTTTTCGTTTAGACGTTTCTCGTCTTGGAGGTAACAAAAGGAGATTAGTATCATTTTTTTTTGGTGGAATTCCAGCAGCAGCATCAGCAGCAGCGGCAGCTGCAGCCGCTGCAGCAGCTTTTCTTTTTCTGTCTGTTGGTCCACCAGGTTTTATTGGTCTGCCTTTTTTCTTAGGCTCAGGTTTAACTATAATATTTTCTGAACTAGGTAGAAAATTATTATTACTCGGAGGCTTTTTTTCAAATTTTTTTAAAGAGAATGGAAAATCATCTTCACTTAAACCATCGTCGCTAGAATCAATATAAGGTTTTTTCCTTTCTTTAGGTAATGGAAAATATCTGGGATCATTGGCATAGTCGATACTGGGGGTTTCTTTGGCCGAGTTTTGTCCCTTGAAGTTCCCTCCATTTGTCGAGGCTTCATTTGGTTTAATCGGTTCAGGTGGCATGTAAGGTTTCGATCTATTCCAAGTAGCTTTCCTCCCTCCACGAATCGCAGGTGGTGGCGAGGGTTCTCGCTCGCCCTGCAAAAACTTCAAGTAGCTTGTCATAAAACCAGAGTTTGGATCTTTGCACGCCGGCTTCAGATCCTTGTTCACCTGATTAGCAGTCTCGACTGGTAATTGATTTTGCTGGAGAAAACCCAACTCCTCCTCGATGTTTGGAACAATCACTTTAGGCTGTTCCTCACGAAATTCTTGGTAACCCGTTGAATTTTGACCCGACGAATTATCACCGTATCCCATTGGCATATCTACAGATGATTGAAACTCGTGAGGATGATGACCTGGATGATGTCCTGGTTGAAGATGGAATGTAGGAAAGTATGGAATCGGTGGTGCTGAATGAGAATGAGACACCATCAATGATTGATGTTGATGTACTGTATTCCCGGTAAAATTTCCAGAAGGATGAAGAGTATTTTGTGTACCATAAGTACTAGAAGATCCAGAGAACATTTTTGAAGCTGATGGTGCTAAGTTCCATCGTTCAAAATCAAAGTAACCATTTTGTTGTTGGTTAGAATTGTGGTGAGCTGGCGGTGGTATTCGATTGAGATAATCTGTCATAACAGGTGAGCCTGAAGAAAGATCGAAACTACGTCGTTTTTTATCACAATCGATTTTTCTACGTTCTTCAGGATCTTTTTGTGAGTCTGCTGGTGATGAAACACCAGTAGTAGTTGGTTGGTGAATTTGACATGCAGAACTTTGGTGTATATTTTTAACAATACCCATCGAATCTTCTCGACAGCTATTTAAATTTTGAAGATTCATTTGATTAGAATCAAAATATCCTTGTTGTCTATCTGGAACATTTTGCATTCTTGATGTTGGTTGATGATTCTGCAAAGTTTGAGGACTCATTTCAGCATTGGTAGGCGTATATCCAGCAACTGGAAACTTTCTATTGACATTTTGTGGCCTGCTATCATTGTCCCAACATATTTGTTGTTGTTTTTGCCTTTGAGAAAAATCCTGACAATCATATGTTCGAGTTTCAGCACTATAATTTGTTTTAGTATTGTCTCCAGCACCTAAAGCTCTTGTAATCACAGAAGAATAAGCTACATGACCTTGTGAGGCAGGTCTCGGTACCGAAACATCTAAAGGAGATGGTGGAGTAACTTGCTGTTGAACTACAGCTTTGTAGGTTTGAGCATTGGCACATTGATTATTTCCATTGTTATCTCCATGTTGTTGAAGAGGTGATGGAGATGACATCGCGGCCATTGGACTGTTGTACATAGGATAAGCAGGACTTGGCACATGACTTAGAGGGCTCGCTTGAGAATGAGCTTGTAAAGGACTTGGTCTTCTAGGTACGACAACTCCACAATCTGGTCCATTTTGCGTCGACGTATTTGAAGAATAAGCAGAATCTGTTGATGTTACTGACTTTGATCTACCAGAATGATGATATTCTTCATTTTGTGAACCAGAATAATGTCTGTATGGTGCAGTTTGTTGCGTTTGTTGATTAAGAACATGATACTGTTGATGATGTAAAGTTGTATTAGCTGGTGTTCTCGGATTATTAGTGATTTTACCATTACCATTATTACTACAATTACTTGTAGCACTAGTTGTATAATTTAAAGACCTAGCATCCATCATGGAGTAACTGATTGGAGATGACTGGTTTGCTTCATGACTGGTTTCAGTTCGTGGATGATCGTGACTTCCTAGTTCTGGATAAACTTTAGCTTGTGCTTTAGTTTGAATCGTTTGTGTGATAGGTTGAGTTTTTGCCGGAGATTCAAAATTTTGTACTAGATTTTTATCTTGACTAAGTACTCCAGTCCTTGATGAAGCATTAGGAAATATAGTTGAGGCTGTAGTAGAGTGCGTTTGTATTCTATAATCTTTTGTAATATGGTTAGCAGTGGAAACAATACAAGATTGTTGATGTAAAGATTGAACTTTGGTGACTGAGTTTTCATTTGCATCTGAGTAATTAGTGGCAAGAGATTCAGGACTAAAAGCAGCTGGAGTTTGTTGGAAAAATGAATTACCGTTGTCAGGAGACGTCGAAACAGTAGGTTTAATATTAGTAGGAGAAGTCGCCTTCGAGCCTTTCTTGCCATCTGAGAACGTAGCAGACTTAAAATCAGTTGTGACTGATGATGAAGGTAATGGGGAGTTTAAATTATCAAGAGATTGTCCTGAGGCAAAGTGAGAATTAAAATTATTTTCATAGCTACCAGATCCACTACTTTTAGTAACTGGTGGACCTGGAGATGAAGATACAACACTCTCGTGCGGTAAGATACCAAAAGGGCTTGGTAATTGAGAACTAGTTTGATGATTCCAAGTGAGAGTAGAAGTTGTTGATGACGTCGTTTGAGTCTGATGTTCAAAAAATGGTGTTTGATGAGTGGCATTATAATTTTCTCGTATTGTAGATACCTCAGGATCTGATGTTGTTTGTTTAACCGCGGTGTCCAGTTGCGACTGTGGCATAACTTGACGATGTGGTGGTACATAGTGGGATTGTTTAGCATTGGGATGATGAAATAGAGGGGTAAAGACGTCATAACCAACTGGTGTTGGTGATAAAAAGCTACCAGGATTGAACGGCGACGGTTGTCCCGCTAATGAAGCCGTTGTGTGGGCGGCTTGGAGTAATAATTGTGACGCTGTAGTTGATGACACAGATTGACTGACGGCTGTTGCACTCAAATGGTGAGACACAAATTCGCCACTGGCTGTTGTACCACCGGTTTGAAATGTGCCAGCAGCGGTTCCAGCCGCTAGACGATTGTACGAGGCGTACCTGTGAAGAAAATAGTTATATATAGTTAATTACAAAATATTTTGCAACAACTTTAGGATATTTCATTGATAATTGATACTTACCATGGACCAACAGGATCCATTACCCGCAATTGGCACTAATGTGCCTAGCCTGCACCTTGCAGACTGTCTCTTAACAAACAGTTATAGATATAAGTTATGTTAAACATAACATAGTCTTTGATCGTATCTTTTCTGTGTCTGGCCCAAAACATGTATGATTTAGATATTGATGATGTTAATTATCAATATATTATTTGTCACAATCAAATAAATAAATCAGTATTTTAACATTTGCATTAGTTTCTTAAAACTTTTTCATTATCATTCTGAAATAGAAGAATTTTTTCATAAAATTTTCGAGTTGAAATAAAGTTGCAAAAATTATTTGTAATTACACTTCAAATTGTCTTTCTTTAACTTACGAATTTTTTGCAGTTCCGTGATAAAATTGAAGACACTAAATGGAACTTTGCTTTGTACACAACAACTTTTGAAACAATAATTTTGAAATATTTTTCACTTTACAGATAAAACGATAAATTTATAAACACCGGAAAATCTTCATGATCTTAGACAGGCGTCTTTGCAAAAACGTGACACGAATTTTTTGAATTGTCTCATAGATAAATTTTTAATTGTCTAGTTTATTCTTGATGATTTTTTCTTACTTTGTCAACAACATGCATTTTAAACAATACCTTCATTTGTTTTAATGTCTTTTATTGTCGCAAAAATTATCTCGATTCATCCGGATAACACTGTAAATATGGCTACAATCCCTTCGCAAATCAGCACTCAATGTGATCAAAAGAAAGACGTATACTCCATAAAGATACAATGCTGATTTTGTCAATATTACAATAATATAGCAATCTATTATTTCTTAGTAAACAAAATGTTTTCACACTAGATAATTAAATTGTTTAATATAATGACATAAAATACACTTATCGCGTCAGTCGTCGGATGAGACATCTGAAGCCTCCAAAGTACTCATTACGAGCTGCCATTTTGATTGGAGTCAACAATGGAAAGCGCCACCACTCATTTTTCAAAGGGCCGGCGGGGTTTTTAAACGAAAGAGAACATCTTCCCCTTTAATTCATTTCACAATGGGATTAAAGATTACAATTACATCAATACATAATACTATCTTTTTTTATGGGGTAACGAATAAAAGAGAATTTTTCTCACAATACATGATTAAAGAAACATCATCTCTTCTTTATGGATTTTTAAAATAATTATTATCTTATGAATGTAATTACATTCATTAGTAATAAAACATTTCATTCCAAATTGTTTTTTCTTCACAAATGATCTCTAAATTGCATAAAAACTTTTAAATAAAATAATTTGGTTCATATTAAAATTACCAAAAATTTTTTAATTAAAAAAAAAAGGATAAATTAATTAAAAAATAAAAATTTATTACTAAAAAATACATATTATTATATTAGGCGTTGAAAATCCAAAAAAATACCTACCATAAAGTAGTAGATATTTTTTGGTCGAAAACTAGACTGACTATAAAAAAACGACTGAGGTAAAAGTTCATACCTGAAGTGTCTAGTCAAGATTTAGAGGTTTTAAAAGATGAATGCATAAAACGAAAACTCCACTCTTTGGTGTTGGAGCAGAACTTGAGATCCTCTGCATATCTTTTTTTAAAGTTGTAGACAGATGAACGGTTAATAATCACAAACTTACACAGGTATAGTAAGGTGTATAGCCTTGAAACTGTTCGTGTTAATTCATAGCAAATCCTTCCAGACAAGAATCGACATCCACTTATAGCTCCTTCTTCCAACATAATGGCCTTTTTCTCCGTAAAAATAAATATATTCAACAGACATCATGAAATACAAAAAATTTTTAAAACTATTGATTATAGTTAAATTATATTGAGGTAATAATGATAGTGAAGCTGGAAAATTACATATTAATTAATTTTTATATTAATGTAAGAATATATTTCAAGATAGCAGTAATTTAATTTATATCAATAATATTATAATAAAAAAGAATGAACGATAATTAATTAACCAATAATTATTGTAATAAGAATAATATTACAATTTAAGGAATATGTAATAATTAACATTTAATTTGATTTAAATATCCCATTTTTAAATACATATTTTTTAGTTACAAGAAATTATTCAGTCAAGAAAATTATTGCTTTGTATTGAAAATAATGAACATTTATCACGCATTTATTGCCAAATTTTGATTTTTATTCAAATATAAATGCGAAATTTTCTTAGCTACAGCTAATAAAACAAATTCAGATGAATTTAAAATTACAAAATATCGGCAGTCTTAGTTCATTTAATAAATTTATAGTTTCGAGTGAATAATTTTTATGATTTTCATTCACTCTTTATTTTTTATTCAAAAATTATTCTAAGAAAGTCAAATTAAGGTATTTCGAGTAGTAATATATAAAAATGGTACAAAGCTTCTTAGCGTAATTATGTTCAATGAAATAGACGAAAATTAAAAAAAAAACATATGAAAAAAATATACATCGTAATTTTTAAATCAAATAAAACAAAATAAAAGATGAAAAATAAAATTAAAAATTCTATTGCAGATTATTTCAAATTATTGTATTGAAAATTATTGTAAAAATATACTTTTATCTGCTCTTTCAAAATTCATCAATTTATTTAGTTATAACTATTCGTAATTTCGTCTCATTTTTATTCAGATATATTACCACTCGAGGTCCCTTGATTACTTTTACAAATAAATAAACAGCAGATATGATATGAGTATATGCAATGCTTTCTAGGTTTCATCCAGGTCTTAATCCATTTACTATTGAATTATTTTAAAACTCATTTTCATTTTCGTACTCAATTATTTATGGTAACATTACAAAAGTGCAATATATGTATTAATATCGATATTGCTTTCCATTAATTTATTTAAACTTTTTTTCATACTTTTTCTAGTAAAAATTATGCCAAGGCTACCTCATTTGCATTTTCCTTTGCTGCCAGACAGCGAATTTTCGATATGCTGTATTCAATAGTTGGTTAAGATGACTTGTTAAATGTTGGCTCACTGCTGAAAATTCCCTTTGTACACGATCCTATAAAAATTTTTGAACATAATTATTTATTCAGTAATATGCTGTTAACATAATATTTAACAACTATTCAATATATACTTAATTACTAATTATTAGACATGTTTTTAGGAAATTTTAATTTGATAGAAATATAAAGTAGTATTACAATTATTTAGATTTTTATTATTACTACTTGTAAAATAACTTTCTATTAACTTACTTCAAATGGCTTGAGCTTGGCTGAATGAAACCTGTGTAAGGTCTCGTGCATTCTAACAACTTTTTCTTCAAGTTGTGGCGTTGTAGGTGGAAAACTACGCCAAAAGTGTTTCAACAACTCACATGTAGATACATAAACATTTCGTAATTCTTTCTCCAAATCCTTAGGTATTAATTCTATAGAATTAAAATAATAATATAACTTTAATAAAATGTATTAATTTAAATTATTATAAAAATATAATATAAATACGAGAAAATGAAAAATCAGTATTTATTACAACTTACGTCCAACATTATCTTCACGAAAACCTTTCATTAAAGCACCACCAGGAGTTAATTCCCCTAATGCTGAAACCGAAGCAGCGGGACTGATTAACGATGTGGCAGATTGCCGCGATAGAGTGTTTCCATTGACCCAGTTAGCAGCTTCACGTTTCAATTGACTTAATGTTGTTTGAGGATCATTTATCGTTGTCTCGGTAGTACTGTTGCTAGTTATGGGACCATGTAAATATCTATCTATATGGGTTAAATTAAGTGGAGTTCCAACAGCTACATTTACATCTTGGCTTGCATCAAGATCATCATACACCAATTTTTCTTGTATCCTAAGCTGGAGGAACATGGATTTTATTATTTTTTATAAATATAATTGATATTTAAAATGATGTTAATTATTGAGTACTAATATATTTTATGTAACAATGACGAACAAAATAACGGAAAATTAACTAAAAATGAAGTTTTAATAAAATTTTATATTTAATATAGACAATTTTTAAAGAATAAATTTAATATTAATCTTTAAAAGCAATCTATATTGATTAAAATTGGCTTTTCATAATATAATTAAAAATTTGAATGATTAATGAAAAAAATGTAACTTACTTTTTTAGTCTTTGGTTCATTTTCCAGCCTTCCAGAAGCTGGAGTTTTTCCTGTAGACGTAGCTGAGCCATTAACTTGCGGCTGCATGGTAGTATTTGGCGTGGAAGGTTGTTGCTTGGCAGTACTAGCTTTCATCACCATTATACTATGCTGATTAAATCGTTTAATCATGCTCTGATGAATTATATTTCCAGATGATTTATCATTTTTACTAAACCCACTATCATAAAATTCATCGGTTGTTTTATCCTCAAAAGATGTAATATCAAGTAGTGGATCATTTATACCAGTTTGAATATCTTTTTTAATTTCTTGATCATCTATTTTGGCACATTCGGTAAATAGATCTTTGGTCCCAGCATGAATGCGATCACGGTGAAAATAGTGAGATTGAAAAAATTTCGTCCAAAATTCAGGTTCTGACATTTTGTGGGGTACATTCTCTTCATGCTTCCGTTTTACTGCTGGGTAAGTCTTGAAAATACATTCTCTGATATCCACTGTCAAATTATATTTCAAGCCATTACAGCCATCTGTTTGTGGTTTTATATCAGCCTAAATAAATAATATAATTAATTTATTAACCGTCTAATTCAACGATCATTATTTTCTCCATCGTCATAAACGATTTTTTTTTGTATTTTAACAAAAAATTTGATAAAAACAATACGATCTGAATATCTAATTTAAATAAGTACACAAAACAAACTCAGACTATGTGTTTTTATATCTCAGTTTCAATATTAAGATTTTTTATGTTTGTGGATATTATAATTTTAGAAATAAAAAAAGTATATCGTCAAAACTTACGAGGAAGGCACTGTTTACTCCAATATCCTGGCGCTGGCTTTTCGCTTGAGTATAATCTATCGCATGTTGATTCCAAAATTCTTCTGAAGTTATTACTTGAGTCATCACTAAATCACGATACAACTGTAATAGTGTTGGATTCTCTTGCAGCAATCTAACGATAAACCATCAATACCATTAATACAATTGATTAATATTTATTATAAAAATATCACTAATGTTAAAATTGTATATTTACTTATTTTTTTCTTCGAGCTCTTTGTTAACTTTTCTTTTAAATTTAGGTAATAATTGTTGTAATAACTCTTTTACATTATCTCGATCTTTAATTTGTGCTGCTTGCCCATTTCTATTGACAAAATGAAATGTCGAAGAGGTTCCATCATGTAATACAAGTTGGAGTTGAATTTTCGATTTTCCATCAGGTGAAATTTTTTGCACTAAAATCATGAATTCATAAATAAATATAAAATTATATGTAACATACAACAAATACTTTGTTTACAATAAATAATATTTCATGAATGATTTAATTATTGAGTAAATCCAAAAAACTTACTTTTAATATCTGCATATTTATGACTCACAGCTACAGTGTCTTTATTATCAACCATCCAAACGATTCTTTCATTCATTACATAAAGAGTTCCATCGCCTTTCTTGTACCGAACTTGGCCTACTTGCATCAGCACGTCTTCAGAAGACGTAGTCATGGTGGATGTGCTATGTGATACGGTTTATCTGAAATAACATTTTAAAAAAATAATAATCAATATTCATTAACGTTAACATGAGAACTAATTTATTAATTTATTTATAAATTTTTAGAACAGGGGTTTGATAATGAATAAAATTGATTAAGAATTATACTGCAACATTGATAGAAACATTTTTCATGTTATATTTTAATGTATATATAACCGTTACTGATTCGTCAGCGTGTCCTTGGGCACAAAGTACATGCCAACACGCAACTACAGAAAGCACAATAGAAAAAAATGAACGATCAAAAAATCGCTCCAATAATAGAATCAATGTCATGGTTAAAGTTTTAAAGTAATAATCGATCAATAATACATAGATAATTGATTAGTATGGTTTGTTTAATGAAACGCCCGGCAAAAAGGTAGAAACAGTACATAACGTAATTGGCAAGAAAGTCCACGTTCTAATTCTTGACACATAAATACCACCCATAGCACAAATTTATTATTTAACTACTAAAAAAACGAAAGATCGTAACATTTTGAACAATTTCTTAATTAAATTGAGTCTTTAAGGATGTTTTTACCAGTGAAAAAGGGCAGACGAACGCAGAGCGACGTGATGAGTCGTCTGTCGACACGGCCATGTGCAGAAACACACATCAGATACATCACGAAGCGAAGACGGTTACGAACGAACCGTCGGTATGGACAACCCCATCGACCTGCTGAAAGGTCCGTATGACTACGGTGTTCAGCTAGATGTTGGCGTAGCTTCCGTAATTTCTATCATTTTATTTTATTTTAATCGAAAAAAACCATTCTATTCATGTCAATTTATTATAAAAATACTATTTTATGAATTAAGAAACATTTTATATCAATATTTTTGTTGTATTTTCTAACAAATCATCACATAACGGTAAAAGTATGTGTATTGACTTCAACTGCGTAATGAAAATGGCCAGATGTCGCTGACAAGCGCCAAATATGAAAAAAATTATAAGAAAAACTTTTACGCAAAAGTTTTTTATTTAATTATTATTCACAATAAAATTGATTTCTTATAATAAAAAAACTTAAATTTTTTTTTTTTAATTTAATTATATTTATTTATTTTGCAATGTCAACATGTAGAATATAATTCATTCAGTTGTTTAATTGAAATAAAGAAAAACTCGTAAAAAAATATCATATTGTGTTTTAATAAATTAATGAAAACCACCACAAATAAGTGAATATTTACAGTATTTCGTATCAAATTGATTATTGAAAAGATTAATGATAGACTTGATATGAGTAGTCAGTGAATAATCATTGAGTTGCAGTGATTTTCACTAATTTATATTAAAAGAGTCGTCAATAATCAGTGATTGATTAACTATTAAAACGGTTGCCATAGTAATTTTAGGCTCTGATGAAGTACAATGTTTCGAAAAGTAACTGTTCATTTTAAGGTCTTCATAAGTATAATAAAATTTATTTGAACTTATCAACTCTGCAATGTGGGTATGTCGCGATGGTATGTGCGTAGTATACTTGCGCGCTAACCTCACTTAGTTTCCGTGACAAATGTGTGTGTTGGGAGCTATTTTTGTATTTTATTGCATATGTGCAACACGCAATGTTATCACGCAAACGCATACTCATTTATCAAATGTAGCGCGACAAGTTTGAAAATTTTTTATCAAAGATTATAAATAATGAAAAATTATTTATTAAAAATTAAATAAAATATTTGATTACATAACCAAATTATGATTAATAATATTTTATTAATTAATTGATGAGTTGATGTAAATTTACTATAAACGACATATTTCAGAATTTAACTACGTGCTAAAGAAACAAGAAAAAAACAAGATATGTTTTGGCTCAGGAAAATCGAGAGATTTGGGTTTAAAAAGTGGCATGAATACATTTATGAGATATCATATAAGTGAGAATTATCCAAATATAGGTCCACAAAAATATAACGTTTTAGAGTCATTTAAAGCTATTACTTCTAAAGTAAAGTTGTATGATATTATTTTTTAGAAATATTTTATGTTTTGATAATTAATGGAAAATTTTTCTATTAACTATATGTAGCCATGCTCCAAATCATTCAGTAAAAAAGGTTATGGTGGATTGACAAATTCTAGCTGTCGAAGAATTCATGTGGATGATTATCCAGCACCAAATGAATATAATGTTTCGTTCGTCACAGTTCAAAATTATAAATTTAAACATCCACTGGCGTCAAAAACAAAACGAAAAACATTTGAAGTGAACAATAATCCAGAGTACATATCTTTTAAATCATCGATTTTAATGTTTATGTACTGAGAAAAAATTTTAATTATAATTTAAAAAGTTAAATCCTATTCTGATTAGTTGTCATTAGGTCTCTATTGTTTGAAAACAAATTTTATTTGTTCAATGAAATCAAGAATGCTTTTTTTCTTCGTAATATTGGTTTAAAAAATCATTTATTGTTGAATTGATAAATTAGTTTTTGAGTTAATCTAATAATTAATTTAAAAAATCATTATCAATAAAACAAATATAACAGTAAATTCTTTCAAAAATCCGATTTTATAAAATGTCGCGGATCATCTTATCTTAATCCTTCCTCAAGGATGTTCTGGATGTATTTTTATAGAAACGCATTCTAGAGCTGGGCAAGATTTGTCTTTGCAAGGGTCCCCAAGTTTTGGATCAAATCATATGCATAAATTATTGAGAGTAAACCAAAATATCTATCTGGGGAGCTTTTGGAGGTTCAATTTGTCCAGGGTTACATGTATTAGTATCCATTCATTGTATTCACATCCAGTGATACTTACAATCCTTTACTAATCCAGAGCATTATTAAAGCATAAAATTTCCTTCCGCATTCAATGATCAAAGAACTTAAATCTTTGGACTTTTGAAAGAAACTACTGTAAATGTTTTTTTTTCTCAGTGTATTAAATCATGTTAAACATATACTTTAGCAGATATTTTAAAACTTTATGCTTCCTTCTAGCCCAACTACTTATCAAAGAATCAATCTTCAAACACGAGGAATGTTATTTGATCACAACTTCGGTTGTGGTATAAAAATGCGTTTCGGAGTTGAAATAAAATGCACTAAAAGAAATACAGATGTTTGTAAAATTTGTAATGAAAGTTTAAGTGGCGATTACTGGCACCTAAACAATAAAAAATTCATTTGTCGTCCTTGTATGATGAAAGAACGTAAGAGACTTCAGAAGTATAAAAAGGAAGAATTAAATCAATTTCGTGTAAGAAATAACATGAATTTATTTTACATTAAAATAAAAAAAAATAATAAAATTATGATAGATTCTTTAATAGCACATTTTTTGAATTCTGTAATAAAATAAATAGTTAAATTTTTTAATTCTACTTATTATATTGAATAAATAATTAGATAAATGAAATTTTTTTCGCAGAAAATACGTGACTGTTCATGGATTCATTCTCATGGTGGAACTGATGCAAAAGTATGGCTAATTCATCCAAAAGATATACAAAAATGGGCACAAAGAGAAGCATATATTAGTTCATACATTAAAGACTAATTTATGAATGATTGATATATAAATAAAATTTATTCGATTTTTGATAAAATTTCTTAAGTATTATTTATTGATAATACAGTTATAATGTTAAATGGCATATTTTTGAAATATTTTCATTGCTGATTTTTATTTACAATATGATTATATAAAAAATATCCCTTGATACGAAGTGATTATTTCGAATAATATTGCTATGTTGCTATTTTTTTTTTTATGATTACAATTTATGAGAAATTTTTGAATATTTTTATCAAACGTTTTTATTACGTATTTACGGTAAATCAGTCATTAGAGAACACTTATTTTACGCATTTACTTACTATTAAATTTTCCCTTTTCTCTCCCTTTATTTTTTTTTCACTGGTAAATTATATCCTATCACCAATGAGTTAAAAAACAATTATTTCAATTCTCTTATTCACAAAAAAGATTATTCAACAATTAATCAATTTATAATACATGTGGTTTTCTTATTAATTCATTGAATAACAATAAATAAAATAGAAAATTAAAAATAGATTAATAATAGTAAATACATTTTTGCGTGAATAAAATTACTGAATTAAAAAATAGCATATAACACAACAAGGGAAAAATATAGATTAATTCAAACTACCAGCGAGATTGTCATTTCAGCTGAAAGACAGAAATCGTAATACTTAATTTATAATAGTCTACTTGTTTTCTTTATCTTTTTTTTTTTTTTAAATGTACGATTCAAAATCACTTTAAAACTCATTTTTTGTCAAATTTACTGCATGATAAATATTTATCATTTAGCTTTGAAAAATAAGTTTGATCTACAGAGTTTTCTGCATAGGCATGGTAAAAAATTGTTCATAAAGTCTAGAGAAAAAAACTAAACCATTTCAAGCCACTTGCTGTTAATTTTACTGTTAGTAGTGGTTGAAGTCGACCTATTTTTTCCTTTGAAGATGTAATGTACTACTTTGAACGAATGAACAATAAGTATAAAATGAACTTTTAGCTTTTTGTAGATGAAGAATCAGTTGAATGATCATTTGGTTTTGATAGGGAAGAACCATTAACATCTTCAATGGGATTTCCACCATCGGGTGCCTGTCGTGATACAACAAGCACGGATGTATCCGAAGAGTTTAACGAACTATTATCATCGATCTCCGAGAAAGTTTGCGTGTTGTTATCTATCGAAGTTGTGGTAGTTGATCCCATACTATTACTAGCCATTAAATCATCGTTACAAGGTTTATGCATTACTGTTACATCGATGTTCTCAGACACGACAGACGGAGTCACGCGAAATTCCTCAGCATGTTCAGCTAACTCTTGAGAATTTGGTGGAATTACTTTTGGTGTTGATTCCATCTTATGTTGTATATTTTTTAATCTTGCGATTCCTTTCTTGATCGTAGCATTAAATGATTCCACATATCGATTATCTAGTATTTCAGCAGCTTCGTTTTCTAAAGCTGAACTAGGACTGGAGTTTTGTTGAACATTTTGATCATGTTTCACAGAATCATTTTCAGGAACGGGAAGATCTGGAATCATATGAGTGTAAAATAAGGGATTCATTCCATTAACACCCATATGACGAACATTAGAAGTCATTAAATATGTTGATAAATAATCATATTCAGTAGTGTCATTATGATCATCCGCAATTAATTCATCTCTAATAACTGTAGAAATTTTTTCTCTTTTTTGCGTTTTTGCCGGTATTTCTGTATCATCTTTTCGATTGTCTCTTTCATGGTAGGCTGTGTTATTTGAAGTATCATTAAGCTTAGAATCACTCAAATAATTCATATCAGTTTGCGTGGGAACTGTACGAACATGAGCCTCACGATTACACTTAACATTATGAGAAATATTATTATTGTTTCTTCTTAGACTGCTTATTAGGTCCATTATATTTCTTTTCATCGGCAAGTAATTAATTGGTGGTGGTGCTGAAGATAATTGAGTTGATAATTTGTCTAATAAATGATTTATATGTATTCTAGTTCCTCTTATTGGATAGTCAGCTTCATTAAATTGATTTTCTGATGATAAATAGCTTGAATTTGAGTTAAAGTTACAAACACTTGTTTCTTCATTTCCGTGATTTTTAACACCTCCATCCATTTGTTGATTACGATAATGAGTTTGAGTTGATTTTAAATTTTTACAATAATAATTTGAATTATCTTTATAAATGTTTCCATTAGTTAAATTTTGACTTCCATGGTTATTTGAATTAGAAGAATAGCCGGTATCTGGCGGATTACCTTCGACAGTAACCGTGTTATTTTCACTTGAAGATTGTACTGAATAATTATGACCATCATTACCGTTATTAGCATATCGATTTCCACTTGTCGTTTGATCAGTATTAGTTTTGCAATTAATTGACTGATTATCAACTAATGGAGATGACCAAGTTATTGAATCGCGATTACTGACAGCTTGATTATCATTTTTTTCGGTACCTTCATGATCGTCATCGTGATCTCCAAAATCAAAGTCATTTTCATAATCATCAAATGCTGTATTTGTTACGTCCTGTAAACGAGACTGGAGACGTTGTTTTATTTCATCCAGTTCACTTAGTTTTTGTCTGAAAATAATGTGAAAGTAATTTGTAAATATTTTATTCTATCGATAATTTAATCTAACAAAATTTGTTTACTTAACAATTAATTCACTTACTTTAAAGATTGTGATAAAAATGACATCGATGTATCTTCTAGACTAAAACCGATATCAATTACAGGTTCGACTCTAGCTTGAGCTTTACTTTCGTTAGTTTCACGTATATTGTGAGGTTCATTTATTATAGTTGGCTCAAAAGCGATTGCTGCCGAAGTTTTAAATTTATCAATATTATCGAGTGGTGTAACACTAACTTGCAATTGCCCATTACATTTTCCATTGAAATCTGTTATATTAAACCAGCCAGAAACAAGTGGAAACCCAACAGTAAGTACGGTCAGATCTAATACTGCTGATCCAATTCCAATATCTTTTTCTATATTCACTTCCATACTTACATCTGGATCAATTAATCGCCAAACTTTCATGATAAGTTTTTTATCTTGTTTAGTTAATAAGTCACATGATAATTTTGTATTAATTCGCCAATCATATTTTGGATTGCAACTAAAAGGGTATACATCTGTTGTCATGTAGGCATCAATTTTAGTATTAGTATTATCCCTGAATTTTTGAAATGTTACATAAGTACATGGATCAATGAACTGATTATCTTTTTCTATTTTTGGTAAGTGAAGAGCCCAAGATATTTCTATAGCTGCGTTGAAACCTTTTTCCATAACATCATTTGAAATATTTGTAGATTGGTTTTCAACTGATGGCAAGTGTCTTTCAGTACTGTAAAAATCTTCTCTTTCTTCATCATTAAAACTTCTAGAGTTATCATCAACATGAAAAGACGATCCAGCTACATTGCCATCATTCTGAGCATCATAAGCTACATTATTTGATGTCAAGTCAACTTCTTCATCGAACTCAGCACCAACTCCAACACTTCGAAAAATTTCTCTGGGCATGTTAAAATTATCTCTTGGACTTCCATTTGAACTCTCGATTGAATAACTATTGCTATTAAGACCATCTAAGCAGAGTGGCTCAACACTGTACACTTTTATATGATCTCGAGGATCAGAAGAAAAATCAAAATCTACCTGAGCTTCTTGATCAACAATAGTTCTTGGAACAGTTGAAGTATGAGCAGATCTATCAATTATTTCATGCAATCCTGTAGATTTTTCATGGTTAGATTCAAATTCTTCACTTGCTTGGCGCTTCAAATCATTTACAGTAGTTATTTCTGTTTGACATTCTTGAGATTTTTTTTCTTGAAGTCTATCTCTATGATTATTTTGGTAAAACCTTTCAGAATAATGTTTATCTAATTTTTCATTTTGAAGAATTTCATTATTTTCAATATTCGAAGAAAATTTTGGAGTATCACTACGATTAATCTGAGCAGTTATATATGGATCACGAAGTCCACGAGTCATTTCTAAAAGAGCTATTTGATCAACAGTTCCTAAAGCTACTAAAGCATAAAGCTGACCTTGAATTTTCCCAGACACAGGATCGGTTATGGGTACCCACCCATCAACACTTATAATTGGATACTTTGATTTTAATAAATGTGGTAAAACCAAAGGATCCCTGAAGGCAACATAGAGTTGATGAACTGAAAGTTTAGCAATTCCTATGAGTTTATCATCACATTCAGCATGCCTTGAATAAACTTCAATTATTATACAATTATCCTTGGTTCTTTCTAGTAGCTCTGGACCATGAATTAAAGGTACTAATTGATGAAAATGATAAAAAGGATTGGTTGTTCCACTACAAACTCTACTTATTGATCTATCTTCTCTCCAAAAAGCTCTACAAATTAAATAAGTACTCATTTCTGGGAGATCTTTACCATCTCCAACATAAATTAAACCATGAAGTAAAATTTTTTCTTTAGAATTATTAGGAAATTGTGTATCAAAAAATACTTCATCCCTTTTCTGGTGTTGAGTGTTTTTTTTATTTTTTTTAGTTGAATCACTCAATGGTTTCATTTTATCTTGCTTGGCTGGAGAAACATTTCCTTTAGAGCCAGATTTTGATTCATTTCCTGTTATTGTCCTATACTTGTGTGATGAATTATCTTTACTAATCATTGAATCAGATGATAATTCTAGTACAGGGATATTTTCTTTAGCTGAAGATATTGCTTCTACAAATTGCCTTCCAAAATGAATTTTATCACAACCTAATTCTATTTTCACTTTTAGTTCTCCAGTTTTTATTCCTTTCTTAATAATTGCTACTTTTTGAGTACTACTTAGAAATTGAGATTTTGAAGCATCACTGATGTATATGGATCCAAGACCTAGTTCCGTAGGAGTTTTTTGATTAATATGCCGATTAAATACTTTAAATTTCAACGGCACATCTGTATAAAGATATTGTTTAGATAAATCATAGACATTTTCATGATTGAAATAAACTAATAGTCCTTCTTGTCTTTTTGAACACATCTTCACTGATTTTCTTGGATTTAGAATTTTCTTGTTATTTTTATTTAAATTTTTAACATTAATGAACATTGTATCATATTGAACAATATACGTTACAGCAATAGGAAGTCCATCACCTCTTGATATACACGATGATTTTACTCGACGATATCCAGCAGAACTTAGAATTAGAAAATCAACAATAATTTTCACACTATCTACATAGTCGAGAGGAGAAGCTGCTTTACTGTGTAAACAAATTTTATTTGAAGAAATGATTGAATCTGATTCTGTATCATCTTCTGAATAGCTTGAATGAAAATTACTATTATGATACGTTTTTCTTTCTTTTTTAGTGATTTCTAATTTATTTTGATTGCATGATTTTATCGTTTCTGTAGCAATATCAATAAGACTTGGAGTAGGAGAACAAGTTCTAAGGGTTTCAAGAGCATTTTTCTCACTCCGAAAACTCATTTCTTTTCCCAGGAAATATTCATAAAGTGCTGCTTCTTTTTTCACAGATTCATTTGAATTTAAACTATCTGAAATTGAATTCCCATCCATTAACAATGAATCTTCATTATTTATAGCTTGTGTTTTCAAATCATACGTCATTTCACTTCTTAATTTACGAGCTCGGGCTACAACTTGAGCGACTAATTTGTCTGTAATGTCAATAGCACTTTTTGGAGATAAAGTAGTAAAATCAGAACGTTTATCTTTCAAAATTGATTGATAAATATTGTCATTATCATGAATATTTTTCAATTTTAATGGTAAATTGTCAAATTCATTAAAACTGTTTACATCATACTTCATATAATTGGAGTCAATGTTTTGCATATTTGTAATTGGCATGCTAGAAATATTTGATGTTGATTTGTCAATTGTTGAGATCTTCTTTTTCGATTCTTTCATGGAATGCAAGCTTTTCATATTTTTTATTGGAGTTAACGTTATTCTAACATACACATCTCCAATCTTTACACCATTATTATTGAATATTGGAGAAGATTGAGTAAAAGACTTACAAAAAAATAAATTTATTAATTTTTTGACATAAGCTGTCCCTATTATATGTTGGGATTTTTCTAACTTAATCGACAGTTCTATATTATCAGCATTTTTTAAATATTCCTTAAAGAGATTAAAGTTGGTTTTTATGGCATAAGTTTTAGTTGACTCTTTTCTAGACTTATGCTCTTTACCATCAAAGGCATCAAACCTGTAAAAAAAAAAAATTTCACATATAAAATTAAATAACCAATAAAATTATACAATTAGAGGTTATTTCCGTTTAATTGAAAATACCCATATTTTAACTGATTCACATAAATTTTTTTTATGTTATTTAATATAGTTGTTGCCTAAAAACTAACCAAAAAATATAATTAATATTTTTCAATATATACATTGAAATGAATATACAAATATAAATAATTAGAATGAAGTAAGTCATTTACCTGAATTGTGCATTATCAAGTTCTCCCCACCAAGATGCAATAATTAAAATATTCCCAGGATTCTTTTGAATCCAAACAATTTTGTCAATTGTGAATTCTAAATAGCCATGAATTTTACCTTCGACAAGCGGAGGCAAAGTTCTTGTTGATTTATTTATCGAATCCATTAATACATTAAAAAATTTCTGTGAAACTCATCCGTTACTTTTTATATTAAAAAGACCAATTTTTTAAAATGTTTATTCATTCATCAAAACTATTAACAATAATATTTCATATTCATTATATTTCACTTTAAAAAACAATTTCATTCATGTATGATACAATAAGTGCTACCAAGAATTGTATATTTACATGATGTCACCAAAATTACATAATTTTTTTTATTTTTTAACATTTCCATTTAATTCGCAGAGTTTTTATATTTAAAATCTCAAAAACTGTTTATTGATAAATAATCAACTGACTCAATGATTTTAGAATCCAGTTATGTATACGTTATGGCCTTCAGGTGGTTTATGGCATTCGCCACTAAGGGGCGCTAAAAAGTCTGACTCAAGAAGCAGAGAAGAGACCGGGAAAATCCGGACTTAGTTTCGGTTAACATGTCGGTAAATCCTAGAACTTATGTTCTCTGACCGCTAGATGTCGCTTCAAAAATCGACCGTAGACACGCCCCCAAATTTTAAAGCGCATGCGTAGATAAGAGAGTCGGGTAAAATTTAAAATTGATTCCAATTAAAAAAAGATCTTTTTGAAAAGATAATTAATATAAGAGCAAGTAATATGAGAACAATCATTCGAAAGCTTTTTTCACCAATTATTCTCCATAAATATCCTGAATAAATTATCTAAAAATGCGTTTATGTCTCTCAACACATCGTTTTCCTTTGAGAAATAAAAAAAGAATTGAACAAACTTTCATGACAGTTTTAAAATAACATATCGATAGATATTCATTATGTTCATATGTCAATTATTATATGATAATATACTTTGCTGAAAATTGAACATGCTAATGGTTGAAATCAATACTCATATTTATTTATATCACTGTTACAACATGAACATTCATTTTGCTCATATGTTCGTGGCATGAAAATTTTAATTTTTTCAAAGAATGATCAAGAAAATGAAATAATGAATTTTCTAATTAAAACAGAAATGATATTCAAGACAAGTTTACTACTACTGTCAATGTTCATACAATCAGGTAGCTTTCAGTTGATTAGATCTAATGAAGTCTATCAAAAATTAATTAAAGATGTATTTACTCATTACCAATGTGAATCTGTCATTTTATTTTGTGCACATGAATCTTCTTATGAAAATCAAGGTGCGTATAGTCAATTATATTGTTTCATTATTAATAGTTTCATGTTATTAATTTTTTGCTGTTTATTTATAATCGATTAGCCATTGATATTTCTACGAAATTAAATAATCTTTATGTATCTTTGAGCAAGAATATGATCTCCACAACTATATCAAATATAGATGATTTTATAAAAAAGGTAATTGAATTTTTATACTAATTTAATAAAAGAAAAATATAATAAATTGTTTTTTTTTTTTAATAATAAATTTAAAGTTCAAAGAATAAAATTCATATAATTTAATTTATAGAGTAATCAATATCTTGGAGACTTAGGCAACAAGTTTCTAGTTTTTCTTGATGATTCTGAAGTTCTTTTGCATCAGCTTATGACAGTAATTATTTTATTCTAGTTTAACTTATAAGTACATTATCAAGAAATTTTTGTAAGTATTTTTAAATTATTTTTTTGCTTAGAAATTGTCACCTCTGACAAACATGTCCCAATCAGTTTGGCTTATATTCACTGAAGATGATGAGAACATTGACAAGGTCTTTTCTGATTTTTATGTACCATACAATAGTCGATTTATGTTGTCTAAGAGGGATGTACAATATGATGAAGATAACGAAATTCTTATTGAGATCTATAAAATAAGTCAAAAATCGAAATTAATAAAAAAAATTATTGGGCGTTGGAAACAAAGCAGTGGGATCTTTGACTACTCTCCAATAAGTTTGTCTCGAAGAAGGATGGACATGAATGGTCATGAATTGCGTGTTACAGCTAGACCTGTAATTTTTTTTACATAATTATTTTTCATGTCTTTACTGTCTTTCAAAACTTATAATAATTTTATCGAATTAGGACATAAAAGAAGCTTTTAAAAAATCTGATAAAATTCATTCAACGAGCATTGCAGATTTCTTTATGATAACGTTTGATATACTGCAAGAGGGATTAAATTTTACGTGAGTATATGAATTATGTTTTCATATAATTATAGATTTAATAAAGAGAAATTCCCTCTTGTGATAGAACAACTTTTCAAGAATCAGTGGATACGGGTACATATCTTCCAAATGGAACTTGGACTGGTGCTATAGCTAACTTGGTTTACAACGTTTCAGATGTTTATTTAACTTATTTACGTATAGATCACACTATTAATGGCGTTATTGGATATACATCGCCTTTTTATATTGCTAAGTATAAAAATTAAAATTTTCCTTAATTTATGGTTAATGACGATTATTAGATTATTATGAGTTTCATTTTTTTAGAGATTCTTTTCATTTCCACCAACCAGATCCATCAATCATATGGGATACTTTTTTACATCCATTTAGTACACAAATTTGGATTATTCTTATATGTTTCATATTATTTTCTGCTACTTTAATCAAATTACTAATAACCTTTTATCAAAAGCAACAGCCTTTGGGAAATCATTTGATTAGTTCATGGCCATATTTGGACGTGTTTGGTGCAATGTGTGGTCAAGGTATTTAATTTTATCAAAACGTTATTATTTATCAATCCTCACGCGGCAAAAATGTTCTCGGAAGTTTTACTAGTCAATTTTAAGTAAATTTTACTAGCCGAAAGAATTAAAAATTAACCATTTTTTTAGTAAAAATAGCTAAAAAAAACTTAGTAAAAAATACTAGTTTGGCTGGTAAAAAATACCAAAAAAGTAGTAAAAAGTCCTATACAGGTTGGTAAACATTTCTAGAAAGAATTTTTAAATTCAGAAATTTACTTTCTATTCAATACATCAATTAAATATAATTGTTCCTACATCAAAGGATTATTTCATACTTTCAGATGTTTTTACTTTACTACACTAGAACACGTCTGTTTGCCTAATTTTATAACTTAATCTTTTCTTCATTTTACTGCATTTAAAGAATATGTAATCATTGACCATGTTCTTATCCGAAGATCGGTCTACCTCAGTTATATGATGGTTAATCGCGATTATTGGAAGATTAGTACAATAATTTGTTTATTGCACTACGGAGTCCTACATTAAATATTATTTGTTGACTGTTATAAATTTTTTTATAGAAATTTTTACCAGCCTGTATATAGTCCAGTCAATATAGGAGGCTTGGCTGCATTTGTGTTAAAAATTTTGGTACAAAGGGCAATTTTTAATTTTCTAATGTCAAAATATCCGTAATGACCTGTAGAAAAAATGTGCCCAAAAACGAAAGTGCGCTGATTTTTTTTTATATTATTTTTTCGCATTTTAGTGGTCCCGTGTATCTAGGCGAGACAGCACTATAGGCGGCACCACGCGCTACAAAAAGGACACAACTATCGGAATGTAAAAATCGTATTTTCGATAAAAAATTGTAGTTTTCTTGTTCAATATTATTTTATTAATTATTTGATGAACAAAAAAACCTACAAAATCATCAATTTCTTTAAGTTGGTAATTTTTTAATTTATTTATAAAAATTTGTTTTGTTATTTATGTATAAAAAATTGCTTCATTATAATGAATAATACATTTATTACTTATTTTAATTTAATATTTTTTTAATATTTTTTTAATTTTTTGTTCTAACAACAATTTGAATATTAATCGATATGCGCATACAATATCTAGTTCTTGGTAATGCGTATGACGAAAAACAACATGTTATTAGATTCAGTGATGGTTATCAATCCTTATTGATTCATGTGAACTTATAAAGGATCAGTGTTGATCAATATGGAAAAATATTTATGGGCTTTCTAAATGTAACTTATTGATTTGTTTAATGGCCTTGAGATTTTAAAAAATATCACCATTCGATACGTTCTTTTACCCCATAATTTTATGGAATTTATACAACTTGCTTAGATGTATTTTGGTTTATTTTAATATCTTTTTTCAGCCATGCCGACATCGACGATTACTTCTGTCAGAATAATTCAATCTACAGTTCACTTGACAGCAGTTGTCATTTTTGCAGCTTATTCAGGCATTATAATTAGTACCTTAGCAACTAAGAGTAATAAACAGACGTTAACAACATTGGATGATATGATTAATGATGACTCTTTTCAAGTTAGAATAAGACCAAACTTCCCAAGCATACAATTTTTTGAGGTAATTTAGTCTGTTTTTTACTTGATCAGTGGAAGCTACTAGAAGTCAATGACTATTCACTAATTTATCAAATAGAGTAGGGTATCAGTGATTGTAAATACCGCTAATGAATGATTTTATTTGCATTTTTTATAATTTAAGGATTCACCAAATCAAAAAATTCGTCAGCTTGTTAAAAAAAAAAAGTTACTCGAAATTTTTGGACCCTTATCTGATTCTGAAGGACTAGTTTGGGCTTGTAATGGAGTCAAATATGGATATTATACTTCAAATCTCATTAGTGAACGTAAAAAACCCTACGGTTGTGATTTGTCGTCAACTGAAATTATCAACCATGTGTCTGTAGGATTAGGATTACAACGCAATAGTCCATATCGTAAAGCAATGAACTTTTAGTAAGTGTTTTACTTGAAAAACAAAAATAATTAATTGATTTAATTTATTAATGAATTTTTTAGCTTTTTATTGATGAAAGAAAGTGGCATTTTAAAAAAAATTTTGGATGAAACGAAAAAAATTCCACCTATCGAGATAGACAACACACAAGTTTTACCAGTTGATTTTGAAGATATTGTTCCAGTCATTGTTTTTCTGATGGTGTCATATATTATCAGTATTTTGTTATTATTATTTGAGCGACTGATACACACACAAATGATGATGAATCGTCACAAGAAAAATTGTCGAAAATTGGAATTGAGTAGTTTGCTACGTGCTTCAATTAGAATTCAGCAAATGAAATTAAGAAAATAGATTACTCTGTTTTTTACCACAGAAGTTGCATATCATTTATATTTAATTTATTCTTAGAATAGTGTTGTGTTAGCTTAATGAATAAATAAGTTGGAATAGAGTTCATCTTAATTGTAACGTAGTAAAAGAAGTAAAGAATAAAGTGGAAGGTAGCATATAATAGCAACGTAACGAAAAACTTCGAACGATTAATTAATTTATTAAAATAAGTTTATCGATGTTTGAAGCACTTATTATTTATTAATCATGTGACTATCGAAATTCATGATTGTATTTGGTAACCCATTGATTAATTAATTAACGTTGGACTTCACTTTCCCTTCTTCTGAATATACATTTTGTTTTCTTTTCGCCTGAAAGCCACATAAAGATCACTGTATTTATGAATGTCTTTTTTTATGAAATGCAATCAAAAGCAATTTTTACTTCGTTGAGGTGAAATAAAGTCAGACAATTTAACGTCAGAAATTGTACATATTCATAATTCATAAATATAGGGATTTACTCAATAAACAATAAATACATAGAAATAATTGACGTTAATTTTTGACTTATACTAAAGCCTTTTCTCGCAATATATTGCGTACCATTGGATGGGCATGTCAAATGTGTAACGCAAAAACTAAACAATGTAAATCACTATATAAATGTAGAGCATTTATTTTTTATTTGGAATATTAGAATATTATGTTGACGCACCAACAGTATAATGAATTATGATAGACAAACAGAGGATCAACAGAGACATTTGTAAGATATTGGAAATTTCCGTTGGTCTCCGACTGGACCATGTGGTCTGCTTAAAAAAAACATAAGCTGTCACACACACAATATTATTACAACGCACTAGCGCTTCGAAAATCATGCTTGATGCTTTCGTCCTCAGCTCGAGAAGGTAACTTAAGACGTAATTCAAACTAGTTTTATTGTTCTGCATAGTGTAAGTAAGGAAGTTGTTATTTTCATTAAAAAAAAGCAATCGATGTATTTGATACAATTTTGTTTTTTTCGGTTGCCGAGGATTCTAACTACGAGACGATGTCGAACATTAATCGTGCTGAAAATCGCTCAAGAACATCGTTGCACTCTGCATGCAAAAATCAAGATCTAGAACTTATCAAAAATTTGTTAAGGAAAGGCGAAAATCCTAATTAAATGCTGTGAACAGCCAAATGAACACTCTTCTTTACTTAGCTTGCACAACAAAAAGTGATGTGACTGTAACAATAATAGAATTATTACTGCAACATAACGCAAATATTGAAGCGGCTGAAAATGAAGGTGGTTTGACTCCACTTATAACTGCTTGTATACATACACGCAGAGAAATATATAGTAAAAATTACCCTAAATTTTATGGTAATTTAGTGACACTGCAGGATGAAGGTAAAAATTACTATACACATTGTAAAAATTACCGTGCCCATTGTTCAATTTACTAAACTGCATAGTTATTTTTACTCTAACTTCACCCTAAATATTACTATGCAGTTTAGTACATTCAACAATGTGCACAGTAATTTTTACAATGTGTATAGTAATTTTTACTGTCACCCTGCAGTGTCACCGAATTACCATAAAATTTAGGGTAATTTTTACTATACATTTCTCTGCGTGTAATAGTGATGTAGCAGTTAAATATTTTTTAGAAAATCATGCCAATCCCAATGCTACGGATCGGCGAGGTTGTACACCAATCTTCTATCTAGTCCAATCAAATTGCTCAATAAGTATTGCACAATTATTGTTACAATATAATGCCAATATTGAAGGTGCGGGTTAAGATGGCCGAACGTCATTTTTAAAGGCTTGTTATAAATGTAATTACGCAGCAGCTAAATTTTTATTGGAAAATCGTGCAAATATTTTTGCTGTTGATAAAAAAGGTTCTACATATCTCCACTTAGTTTGCCAGACAAAGAAAAACATGACTGCTGCTCTTATCGAACTATTGCTGCAACATAATGTTGATGTTGAAGCTGCAAATGCAGAATGTTGGACTTCACTTATAACAGCTTGCGCCAACGACAATCTCTATGCAATAAAATGTCTTTTGGATCATAATGCAAATATCGAAGCTATGGATAAGAAAGGTTGGACTCCACTAATGGTATACGCAGAGAAATGTATAGTAAAAATTATCCTAAACTTTATGGTAATTTGATGACACTGCAGGATAAAGGTAAAAATTACTATACACATTGTAAAAATTACCGTGCCCATTGTTCAATTTACTGAACTGCATAGTAATTTTTAGGGTGGAATTAGAGTAAAAATAACTATGCAGTTTAGTACATTCAACAATGTGCACAGTAATTTTGACAATGTGTATAGTAATTTTTACCTTCATCCTGCAATGTCCCCAAATTACTATAAAATTTAGGATAATTTTTACTATACATTTCTCTGCGTGTAGCTTCTGATCACGGCAATTGTAATGTTATTCAATGTCTTTTTGATCATCACGCCAACGTTAATCATTCCGGTATAAATAATTTAACTGCTCTTTACATTGCTATTGAACGGCAATCTGTGGAAACGACTGAATGTCTTATTAAATGTAATGCTGATATTAATCTTCCCGATAAAGAAAATCAAACGCCTTTGGAGAAAGCCTTAAAGATGGATTCTTCTGGTTCTTATCCTTCGAAAACGGTACGAATTTTAATCTTCGAAGTAGCTAAATTGAAAGTCGCTGGATTAAAATTACCCAATCACAATTTGGATATACTTCATAACCATAATGTACGTTGGCCTCGTTTGAGCAAGGAATCACGTTTTACAAAAGAGACTGAACAGATGAAAAAGAAGAATATTGGTAATAATGATATAATGCTGTATGATTTTCTAAAAAACCATATTTGTTTTCTTCCTTAATTCGTTACTAATGAAGAAATTCAGCAACAGCTGAAACAAGAAGACTTGGATAAACAATTTCCATCATACATACATATTGTTCGTAATCGATTTCGAGAAGCAACAATTCAATGCAGACGAAACAAATTAGTAAATCAGGCTAAATAGTATTTTAGATTTTATATTAATAAACAATAACCTTATGAATTTCTAGACTGCATATTCATTTCTGTAAGCATCAGTGAGTTGAAGGCCTTCATCAAGTCATGTCAGGAATCTATTAAATGATGAGCAGTCTCGTCCATAGAATATTATATAAGCTAAATTAGCTCTGATTGTGAATGTAAGAAATTATTCTTTGTTAACATTTTAGTATTTATAAATATTTCTAATAAATAATTGTTAAATAAAAGATTTTTATTACCATTATTTTCATTATCGGTTGAAAGTACGTTTAGCCAACCCAGGTGATGTATTCTGCTAATATATGTGGTACTAAAGTGCACGTAATGTGATGTATCATTATCTGTAGAAGTTAAATAGAATCTTTGCCTTATCTCATGAAATGAATTCTTTCGTCATTTCGTGTAACATGTCAGAAATTTAAACATATTACCAAATAAAATACAAAAAAAATACATGTCCAGTCTTTTTGAATTTCATATTATTGGCGAGTTGATACTTAACAAGTAGTGACATCACGTTGTCGAAGTTCATACTAAACGTTCGGGCAAGAGATGCTGAATTCATTTATCGTAACTTTTACCATCGTATGATAACACAGTTCTTGATAATATCGACTGGTCTTTTTTTAGTTTCTAAACATAACCAAAAATTTTGAGTTTGTTCTTATTTACATAATGCAAAAATGAAACCTACTCCGGGTGCAATTATTAAAGGTCAGTTTGATATATTAGTGAATATAGGACGCATTATTAAACAAAATGGTCCAAATCCAATAAAAATTTTATCAACATTATTCAGGTAATTCAAAGAATTATTTTAGTTGTGCGAAATTGCATTTGGCAAGCTGTCTTTTCAATAAGCTGAGATATCAATTATACGATTTATTTTTTCTATTGCGAAATACGAAATTAATTGAATATTGTTTTATCTTCAGGACTGATGATTTAAAATGGGGAAATTTAGTTGGTGTCGACAAATATGGAAATCGTTATTATGAAAATAACTTTTATATTTGGGGTAAAACAATCAAATTGGTTTTATGTACTTTCGAATCATACGTGATAACTAATCTTTTCATTTCACAAATTTAATTTCTTGTGACAGGGCAAAATCGTTGGGTAATTTATGCAGATCATGTAGGGATGAATTATGATGGATCACAAGTATCGCCAGAATGGCATGGTTGGTTGCACTACAGAACTGATCTATTACCATTCAATGATCCTTCTAGACCAAATTATAAATGGATGATTGATCATAAAGAAAACATGTCTGGCACGAAAGAAGCTTATATGCCCTACAGTACAACCAAGCCAAAAATCGAAGCTTGGAAGCCATCATAGAGCTTTAATAGTTTAAAAGAAAATGAATGTTAATAAATACTTTATTTATAGTATAAGATTCTACAATATTCAATACAAAATATGTCAATATTGTAGAAAAATACGACTTTGTGTGAATAAATAAGTCTTATTAGATTGGATGTATTTTAAATTTTCCAACATTTTCATTTGAATAAATATATATTTACATATGTGTAAAACCCCTAAACAAAAAGAAATGGTAAAATTCTTACACTAATTGTTTTTAAAATTAAAACTTTTCTGAATCACAAAAATGAAGTAGAATTACACTTATTTATTTTCAGTTACTTCTTTTTCTTATAATCTTTTTCAGATTGATACCCTGGTGCATGATTATGATCATAAACACCTGTTGGCATGAATTGTTCTTCAATTACAGCACATTTACCACGACAACCTCGATGTTGTTCTGCACATCGATAATGTGATCGGTTCAGCACTTCTGAACGAGATGTCAGATTATAAACATATCCTTTATGAACTAATTGTGGACGTCCTCGAGTTGACAGCCTGTAAGTTACTACAGGTTCGGTGCTATCTGTAGATTATGAAATTCATTAATGATCTTGTTTATTATTAAAACGAAAGCATAATAAATATTGAAAAATATTCATTTCAAGTCCTACTCGAAGGTTGTATTGACTTATCAGGATCATTTTCTCCATTGGGATCATTTACTTGTTGAATCGAATCTAGGGAATAATCTATGAAACAAATAAATTTTGTCAATAAATATAAGCAAAAAAATTCTAGATATTTTTTTTACCATCGTTGTGTTCAGCTTTAATCGAATTCTCATTTATATTAATTAAATTATTCTTTGAATAAGAAATACTATCTTCGGCTAAATTATTATCGTCAACTTCTAATAAAATTTGTGGTGAAGATTCATCGTCTATGCTAAACGAAGATTTTATAGTTTTTTTATTAGCCCTCGTAGGAATGGAGTTTTTAGGGCGTTTTAAAGAACGTTCACATTGAATCAATTCTAAGTGACTTGTCTTATCAACTTGCTTAGACTCCAAAGTTTCATTAGAATGTTTTTCTAATTTAGTTTCGTTATCTTTTTCCTATGAAGTTAAACATACTGTAAGTATTTATAGATTGGAATAAATATCCTTTATAATTACTTATAATTTAACTAAAATTACATGAAACGAACATTGTTTTTATTATTCTCTATTGTAAGTCCTTTCACTTTTAAAGCTTCAGCAACTTTTAAAAAATTTTCAAGCTCCTCATGCTTGATGTTGACTTCTCCTTGATACATGAATTTCAATAATGAATCAATTTCAGTATATTTCATATCTCTCAGAATCACTACTGGATGTTGGCAGGGATTATCCTAAAAATAAGTTTTTGGTAATGACTTTTATAAAAATAAGTCTATTTATTTTTTTTTTTATATTTATTATGATGTTTACCTTAAAAATATCTTGGAAGTATGGGCTACAGATAGAGAGAACAAGTTTATGAGCTTGAATTAGTTGTCCCTCAACAGCAAGGGTTACATCAACTAAATATTTATTCGTTAAATATGATAAAAAACCTAAAGATAAATTGCTTGAATGATTATTCCATTTCAAAGCAAATTGTTCATTGGAAAGTGTATTTTTTGGAGTCATTTCTACCCAAGATGTTAGCTAATTAGAAATAAATTATGTCTTTTTATCAATTCATTTGTTCAGTATAATTTTTTGTTATAAATTAATCTGGAGTTTATAAAAGTTTAATTAATACCATAAAATTTTTACTTACTGAAATATATCAAAATTTTTTTATAAAAAAAATTAAGAATTCATTCTAATTTAACACTGAGATATATTAATACTTAAACAAAAAAATCATTTCAGTCATTTGAATGATAAATTTGAATTTGTTCTTATTATTTGCAATAATATCAGTAAACGTTATGATAGACCATGACATCAATCTAACATCATTATTGAAAGATTCAGTGGATTGGTATTAATAATATTATTATTATTGTTTGAAGATTCAATGTATATATACATATATACATGGAATGATTTTTTTATACGTGGATAAAAACAAAGCAAAAGATGACATTTTTACTGCAGCCAGTTACAGCTAATATGTAAGCTGAATCATCACGATTATAAGTGGCGTTGCAATCGTTGTTTACTTTTTGTAGTTTTTTTTTTAGTTAATGAAACCAAATAAAATTGTTCTTTTTAAAAATATACAAAAACAATGCCTATACAAAAAGTATATGAAAAAAGACGACTGAAAAAATTAAAAATTTTTAACATAATTATAGATAAATTAACACAAACACCATATAAATTAAACAAAAAATATTAATAAAAATATATATACGTATAAGTAAATAACCACAAATACGAAAAATTAGGAATTATTTATTTAAAATTGTCAATAAATAAATATGATATTAACTATTAAGATATTAGATTTTTTTAACTATTAAATTTATAAAAAAATACATAAATAAACGAATAATTAAAATTTCGTTTGCAAAAATAGATTTTTATTTAAAAATTTTTGTATTTTGTTCAACAAATTAAAATTATCCAATAGCGAAGATTCTCAGCGCCCTCTGCTTTAAAGTTAATCGTTTACATGCTTATTGGAAACATGTATTTTTTTTTGTGAATGAAGATATCTGAATAATAAAAAACAGCGCAAATTTGCGTTATAAAGTAATAATTAAATTTACTGTGAAATTTTCTATTATTAGTATTTCATACACGTTGTTATTTAAGTGGAATTAGTGTAATTCCAAAAACAACCTGCAAAGACGATGTGAAAACGTAAGGTATATATAAATATATGTATACATACGTGTGTTACGATCAATAAACTATTGAAATTGGGATCTCCAGTGGAAGCATTCTTAATTCCCTTTTTTTAATAAACTAGTTTACAACTTATTTCGTGTCACCTAATGAGGGTAAAATCTAATTAATTTTATTTGAGTGACGTTACTACTTTTATTAATGAATATTGTAACCAACAAAGTTTTAATTAGTTCTCAACATATTGGTTTTTATTTGATTATAACGTAGTTTGATGTGATATAAATGAAAATTCGACCTTATCAAAAGGCTTTTTCTTAGTTATTTTACAGTAATAAATAGTATTCATGAAACTTTAAAATTCAGTTTCTTTAATACAGTCAATTTTAGTTATAATAGTTGTCAATTTTATAGATAGATAAATATGGAAGAGTAGATTCAACTCATGGCTAAAGGCGCTGGCATTGATAAAAGGAAGCAAGGAAGTTTAAATAAAGTAAGAACATGTTCACACTCATTATTTCACTACAAAATTGCTGTCAAATTTCAAACAACATCGAGTGAAATTTTTAAGACAAAACAAAAAAAAGAATATAAAAATACCAACACTAAAAGCATTGACGATTTTCAAAAAGATATATTCAGGTAACAATAATTTATTGTTTTATAATAAAATCATATTTTGTAGGGTAAATATTTAAAAAAAAATCATTACAATATTTATAGAATTATTCATGGTTACTCTAATTGATAGTTAAATACGTTAGAATTTCAAAAACATTCTCTTGTGATCACTGGGAAATAACGTTGAATAACTACCAAATATTTTGTTATATTATAGAATACTCAAGGAGTGTATACATACAGATCTATGCATTTTACATAAGTCAGATGTACTTGAAATAAATAGTTGTATTTTTAAAGCACGATCTCCACATTTATACCATGTATTAAAAAACAAATACTTTACTACCAATACCAGTCCAATTCAATGCTACTTAAATATAACTGAAATTTATCAACAAATTACTGAATTTATAAGGTATAAAAATATATTTTTCATTCAATCAATAATCATTTATGGTATATTTTTAACAATTATCGATATTTTCAATATCATTTTTACCTAACTGATTCAATAATATTAATATATTTCCAGACTTTTATATTGTAATTCGGATATCTCAAAGGAGGAACAACGATTGATACAACTCATATTTCATATTGAAAATAATCTAGACGTGATTAATCCATTTTTAGAAGTAAATGTATCAAATGAAACTGATGATGCAGTTGATTTAAGTCCTAATACTTCAGATATGGCAGATTCCGGATTAGAAACAGGATCAATCAGTTTTCACGAGAATACAGAGTCTGAAAATTCTGGAACTGATATTGAAGAGTCACATGTGACTGATTGTGTATCTACTGATGATGACTTTATTCGAGTTTCTGTTAGTGGAGATGTAGAAAGAGGGAATAAAACTACTCCAAGCTATCGAAAAGACTGGTGTCATCAAGACCTCATAGAGAATAAGGTAGCAGGAACCATATCAAATGATGATTGTGTGTGCAGCGTCAGCAAAATAGAAAAAAATATATCACAATCAAATTATGATCGGACTGACCGAGAATTGGAGAACTGTGAAATTGATGATATTACTCGTTATGAAAACGAAGTATTAAATGAACCATTCTATGAATCAGACTCTAATGATAATGAGCAGAGTTGTTCATTTGTTCCAACAAGTTCATTTGAATTTATAGAGCCAGGAAACTCATCACCAGTAACGAATATAGATAGACAAGAATATTCTAATACATCTGAAAAAGATAAAAGCTTTAATTCAAAAATACGAAATGTTACAACTGATAATGAACATCATGTCATACCTCATTCCAGTGCTCTTACATTAAACACGAGTTCTTCTAGCGTGAATAATTATTACTTTATAGATGCATCAAGCCTTAATGACGACAATGAAGTAACTTGTTCGAAAAAAAGTGAAGATCAATCTCAAATTAGTTTAATAAAATTACAAGGAAATGTCAGTCATATTCAATCACCATCTGGAAGTCAAGAAAAACAAAGCAGTAACTTAATTCGAAAGACTGCATTATCAAGTGGACATGAATCAACAGCAAAATTTGAACGTGAATTAAAACTCGTAGAATATTTAAAGCCGGTTTCAGAAACAAAAAAAATAAAACGTATTGATTCTGCTACAGAAGAAAAACCGATTGAAAAAGAAGCTTTAGTAGTAGAGATAAAAGAAGCAGATAGCGGAGAAAGTAATCATCCTTCGCCATGTATTGATAATAACAAAAAAGCCCAATACGAAAATGAAGAAAATGATAATGATGATTTAATAGCTATCAATATTGATAATACTCAAGACTCTCAGTATTCTTTAGTAAGGTGTAACACATTTGAATTAGAATCAGGTGATAAACTTCTATCACGTTTTCGTCAAGAAGATGAACGTCGACAAGGTCATTTAATATTTAAAAATTCAATTCCACAATACTCAAGCCATCGCGTTGATGATGATTTAACATTTAATGGCAAAAATTATCCTTCCATGTCATACTTTTCTGATTCAGCACACAAAAATCAAGAAAATAGAGATATTGAATATTCTGGCAGTTTAAATGAAGTATTTTATTACTCACAATCTGCTGGAACTTCATCGAAATCATTCAATAATGATAACTCAAATCACGCAAACAATTCAGACAAAAATTATCCAATAACAAAAAGTGCAAGTGACAAATTTTTAGCTGATAATTCAGAAACAGATGATAACTCTACTGCGGATTGTAACAGTTTACCAATAACTTTAAATCCTTCATCACAAGGAAATCGTTTGGGAGTAATGAAAAGAACTAAAAGAGATGAAATGACCCCTATAGTTTCTGGAGGCGTTTGCACTAATGATTATTCGAGACCCACAGACAGTCCTACTGTTCGAAGAAAAACTGAATCAACTCCAATCGTGTCAGGGGGTTCTGTACTCTCTGATCATCCATTAAAAGAAATTAAACCTACCCGTATGTCATCATCAATGACCACGTGGGTAGTTGATATGAGTGACTGTAAGAGTAATTTAAAATCTGTTAATGGATCTTCTTCGAGTAGTATGTCTCAAAGTTATTCTTTCTCAGATTCAAGTAATAAAAATTCATCTAAAGTGAAATCATCAGAAAAACAAGGAAGTTTGGGATTTTTTGTTAATTTAAAAGATATTAATAATTCGACAAAAGTATTAAGTAGTGAAAAACAAACAGAATCTAATAAAGATATCCCAAAACAATCTTGTGAATTTTTTATTGATATTTCGAAGACTGAAAAAACTATCAATAAATGTGAAAAAAAAGAAATTAATAATTTGAAGGAACATTCAGGTGAAAGTAGTGAAAAGAAAAATATTTTCTCAATGTTTATTGACTTGAATGAGCCCAATCGTAAAAGCTATGAAGAAGACACAAAAGAAAAAAAATTACATCGACTTCCACATCGTTCAACAGAAGACGAAAATAATTCTGGGCATGGTTCTGGTGGTGGATCTTCTTCATCAAATGAATCTCGTTCGAAAGATAAAAAATCAAGTGTCTTTATGTTCATTGAATCAGATTCTCCAGTTGTAAGACGAAGAACCCTTTCAACATCTCGGCCAGTTTTACAAAGGCATTCTTGGAATGTTGACAAATCACAAAATCAAAATAGCAAACTGACTGAAGATATAGCTTTTTCTCAAGAACATAAACGAGCTCATAGTATATCAATTGAACCGGGAATTGACAAAATTCTGCAGGATAAATCAAGTAGTTTAAAAGCTTCATTAAACCACGAAAAATCGACATCTCTTCATCTGTCAATGTTATCAACAGGAAAGAGTAGTAAAGTTGACGTGTCTTTTTCGAGTTTCGATAATGAAATGAGAGACACGCCCCCGAATTCTCATGTAGAATTACTTAATGATGATCGTCATAGTTCTTTAAAACGCGAAGAATTTAAAGATTCTAGCAGAACTTCTGAAGTAATCAATTCTAGCTTTGAAGCATCGATGGATCCTAAAGCTTTTGAGGATGATCAATCAGAGATATCTACTTGGGAAAAAACAGCTACAGAGAGTACTGAAGGCCATACGAGAAAAAGTGAAACCTTTGATATCAGTAGTGGAAGTAATAGTGGACCATCTCCAGGAAGTGATAATCAAGATTTAGATCTTGGAAATTATCGAAGTCGATCTGCTTTTAAAGAAAAGCGACGAGAAAATTCAAAATCGACGAAAATATTAGAGACTCACAAATCTTTGACAGAAACTATCAAAAAGATTGAATGTGAGTTTGACAAGCCTGAATATGGAAATCTAGAAACTAGCTGTGAAGACATGCCCAGTGATTCTAATACGAAATTAAATGACGAAAAAGAGAGTAAAGCTTCTTGTTCCGGATTTGTAAGGCTATCAGATTTGGATAAAGCTCCAATAAAAGATAAAGTAGAAATTGAAGAAAATATTAAATCTCGAAACTCACGTTATAGAATGAGTAATAGCATTCCAGAAATGTCTTGGGTTGAAAGCAAATTAGCTATGAATCGAACAACAGGTTCTTGCCAAATGAGAATTCCTACAAGAAAGTTTACATCAATTATGAGCACATCTTTACCTGCTAAACATAAATCTCCTATTGAAGAATTTGGAAATGAAGGTGATGGTGATGGCATTATATCTGAATCAGATCTCAGTAGTATGCAGAGTAGTATGGGCCGTTCAGGAGCAGATATTAGTACAGAAGAAACTGAAACATCTAGTTTTGCTAACACAAAACCTTATAATCGACTTGGTGAAGACTTATTGAGAATGTTTTTAGAAGAGATCAACCCCGATGTAACTATAGATGTTGGTGGACGAAGAATTCGTGCTCATAAATGTATTCTTAGTTCTAGGTGCCAGTATTTCGCAGCTATTCTTAGTGGTGGTTGGATTGAGAATGCTGGAAATATTATATCTCTTCAAGGATATTCTTATTCTTCCGTTCATTTTGCTTTATGCCATATTTATAGTGGAGAAAGCAATATTCCTGATTCGATTAGCATTGTAGAATTGGCTACTCTAGCAGATATGCTTTGTTTAGAAGGACTGAAAGAAGTTATCGGTTATACTATTAAAATAAAATACTGTCATCTTTTCCATAAACCTTGCCAATTATGTGCAGTGGGTGTTTTAGAGTGTATGCCACTTGCTGCTGCTTATGGTCTTGATGAAATCTACAGGAAATCTCTACGATGGATTACTAGACATTTTGTACGTATTTGGCCTTGCAAGGCATTCGCAGCATTACCAAGAGAACTTATGGATAAGTGTTATCATCAACATATTGTTCACATGTCGGCTGATAATGTACTTCAAACGATAATGGATTGTGATAAATTATTAGCAACTCTTCCTAATGTACGGTGGGCAGAGCCAGTTTTTAGAATGGTTTCTAATCTTTTAGAAGCTGCTTTAAAATTTCTTTCTGACAATTTTTCAAGTGTTTTAAGTAATGATAGTTTTCAAGCTCTTGGAAGAGACCTTACTTGGAACATTAGTCGATTAGAAGATAATGTTCTTTCAGCAGCTGATCAATTACCTCCTGATCAAGCATGTAAAAGTTACACCAAATTACACAAACTATTAACAACGATACATTCAGATGAGCTACAGAAACCACAATGGGGATCATTATTTATTGATTTTCTAGAAAAAATTCAAAGTAGAGTCGAAAAATGTTTAGTCAAAGAAGCTTCAAGAGCTGCAAGAACAACTACATGGTTAAAAATGGATCTTGAATTGAGAAGGAGAATTCAAGAACTTGCTTGTTTAGTGATTCTTCCACATGAACCCTTGAAAAAGTCTTCGAAACATTCTAATTTAGTTCAGGTATATTTTTTGATTTCGATTAACTTATATATTTAAAATAAATTTAAAATATTAATTATTTGAATATTTGTAGGATTCCAAAACTCCATCGAATCGTAATGTAACTAATCGAAATTTAGAATCAAAAAAAGGAAAAATGACTGCTACTGAACAAAATAATAAAGTATTGAAGCCATCAACTACTGCTCCGGTCATTAAAAAAATTCCACCAAAACCAAAAAGTGATCCCATGGAACGTAAAATGCAAGATGTCAAATTTCTAGCATCTGATTCTGGATTTAGACCTAAGTCGTGGCCGAATAAATTAGAGGTAAAAATTTTGAATAAAATCTAATCTCACAAAAGTATCTTGAATAATCTAAGTATTTGTAATTCAATATTTCATTGAATTGTTTTCAGGTGAAATCACGGTATTTAGAACCAAGAAATAAATCAGTACCAAAAGATACAACACATCAATCTTTGTCTGAGCGTGTAAATATTCAACATCGCCGAAAAATTATCATATCGTCATCTGACTCATCAAGAACATCAAGTCCTGCCATGAAACGCGCAGTAGATAAGAAACCAATCACAAAGTTAAAAGTTGCAGCAAAGAAGGATGTAAAAGCTTTATCTTCAGATAGTTTAGCCGATTCTACTGGTGTGAAGTCTACTCCTAAAAGAGAAGGTACGAGTAAAAGTTGCGGAATTACTCGTCCAGAGTCTCCATCTCTTCAATCTAAAGATCCAGAAATTGGATTATCAGTCGATTCTTTAGCAGAGCCCAAGAAAAAAACTTTAACTGTGAAAAAATCTAGTAAGATGGATACTTCAATGTCTGCTGATAGTTTGATGACTGAAGTAACAACTCCAAAATCTGTGATTTCGACTAAAGTGTCTCCAACGCTAGGAAGACCTACAGCTAAAAGTTTAGCAATGGAACGTGCTAAAAAATCATCTCCTCCAGTGAATCAAAAAAGTCCTTTATCCGTTACTCGTAGAGCTAGTCGATCTATAGAAAATTCCACGGCTGCTAGTCGTAATCGAGTAGCAGCGATTAATGCTTATCATGGTCCTCCTAATTTAAGGAAAAACCTTTTAGATGCTGCAAAAACTCCAGATATTTCTAGTAAAATGATGAATGGTGTTATTCCTAAAGTTAATTCACGTCAAAGTTTACCTTCTACCAGTACTCTACCTGCTCTAAAACGTGATAAAAAAGATACTAATCCTTCTAGTAGTGAAAGCCCGAGCAAGCAATCTCCAAAATCTAATGGAACCAATAGGCCAAGTCGGGCAATACAAGCAAATAAAAAACCTTTGGCAAAAAATACAGAAGTGCCGAAAAAATTCAAATATCAGAATGGAGATGTTATCAAACAACTGACTGTTGGTTCAAGATCTGGAACATTTTTAAAAGACGAACCTACGATACTAAAAAAATCTGATATGAAAACAACTCAAGTGGCATCTTAAAAAAATAAGGATAAACATTCAGAAAATTCGAAAAAATGAAAGCTAAGTAAATAAAGTTTATAAATGATTGCTAAATTTGGTTTAAAAAAAAAAATTAATAGGTGTTTATAAAAAGTTATCAAAGAAGAAAGTTTAATTTTTTTTTTTTTCAAATTTTGTGATCATTGATACAAATTTAATTGATTGATTCATAAAGACTCGTGAAAAGTGATAATTCCTATAGGGAATCTTGATTAATAATAAATATTTAACCGATAAGTTGTATGCTGAGCACCAGATAATTAAAATAGGTTTGAATCGAAAAATAATAAGTAGCATTTATTAAAACGTCTCAAACTGTATCGAAAATGAGTGCTATATTTATTAAAAATATTAATCATGTTTTGACTGCTTAGTCTTTTTGCAAAACTTAAAATAACATTTAAGTAGTATAATCAATATTTATTTTATATTCTATTGAATAAATATGTTCAATTAATGCTAATACACATGATTATGAATCATTACTCTAAGCAATTCGATTCTATCGTTGTATTGATTCCTCATGATGAGCTATTTATCACTAACTTTATCATTAAATGGCTGCATACTTAGGAATAACAAGTAAAATAGATAATATGGCCAGTTTGTTATTAATATATTAGAATTTTTCACTATTTGTTATTTTCACGCAGAGCCATATTTATTAAATTGTGTATTTAGACATTACGAGTGGTCATATATATTATTATAGTATATAAAAAACGTGGGAACGTTCGTCTCATCATACGGTGTTTATACATACATATATTTATTTAAAAATAAAATTCATGATTAAAGATTTATACTTCTATATTTCCAGTGGACTGATTGCTATTATCTTATTTCATTCCATTGAAAATCGGTGCACATACTTTCCAAGATACTTTTCCAAATTTTTCATACTTCTTTATCTATAATTCTGTGTAAAGTTTTACCTCATTTTCAAACATGTATATATTACCACTTGATATGCCTTAAATCGATTAATTATTTTTGTTTTTTACAAGTATAAATTGTTTTTTGAATATATTTTCGGCATTTTCAATTGTAAAAACGTTGCCATAAATTTATGTACATTGTTTATAACTTTTTTTTACATTATTTAATTTAAATGGGCTCGAACAAAGAATATATATTGATTTAATATACATAGATAAATATATATTATTTGCCAATCGCAGTATTGAATTATCATGCGGGCATGTAAAGATTGGCAACTTTCCAATATATTCAACCGTTAAAAACTAACGTTGGAAAAATATTATTAATTAGCTCCTATGAACTCTACGTAGTTATATTTATTTACTGGATCTTTATATTTTTTGCAATGTAAATTTTTATGCAATATTTGTATCTAGTCATTTATATATATTTTAAATATTTATGTTAATGTACCGTTAATGAAAATATTTAAATATAATATTCTAATAAAACAACTACTGATTGGTACCTTTATGTGTATTATTAACTAACCAATTTTTTAAAAAATTATTGTAATTGATTAAAAAAACAAAACTCAATTTTATAACAATTTTCTAGTTGCAACAATTTGTGAATAAGTTGAGCCGATTAAGAACGCGGTATCATAGTTGGGGTTGTTTTTGTACATTCTTTGAAGTATTGGAAGATTTTGCACTAATTATGTCTGTGCCATGTTTAACAAGACTTTACGTCTTAATAACATTCTAGTCTTTTAAACTGAATCAGTGAAAACTACTGTGAATCAGTGAATATCTAGAACTTGTTAAAAGTTTGTTGAAAAACGGTGAAAATTCTAATGCTGTCGATGACTAAATGAACACTCTTCTTCATCGGGATTGTACATCAAAAAATGATGTGAGTGTAGCAATAATAGAACTCCTAGAAACACCACAAAATTGCTTAATAGAACGACACAGTGACATTGATACATTTAATCTATTTTAACAATAATTATACAATTGTTTATATCTGTGTCAATGATGAATTTATTGAATGAAAATAATAAAGTGATACAATAGAAAATTAGATAATAAAGATTTCATAAATAAATTATTCACATCATAAATTTATCTTTATTTTGAGTAAGAATTTTCGCAGAAGATTTTGCATCTAAAAATATTGAATCAACTTCTTCCACATCTTCTTTTTTGATCATTGTTCTTCCGTTTATTTTAGCTGTTAATGCTGCGGGTGTTAACAAATGAACCGCATATCTGAGTGTCGTTCTTGTTCCAAGTTCTCCCAATGCACTTAAAGCTTCGTCTTCAATTTGTAATCCTTCTGTTGCAATTCGTAATTTCATAATTTGTTCAATTTCTGCTCTAGAATATGGAAGTGTTCGAATTATAACTAATCGATCTAAAAGATCTAAGGGAATTCCGTGAGGTGAAACAATGTCATCTGTTCCTCTGATATTACAATGACCTCTATTTGTAGCAAATATTACGATTGGAGCAATCGCACTTTCAAGGGAACGATGAAGATATGTAAATGTCTCAATATCTAGCATATGAACTTCATCTATGAATAAAACTCCTGGTACTAATTCAGCTATGCCTTGGTCAATATATTGGTTTACAATTTTGTTTATTTCTTTTCTCAATTTATCTATATAAAATAAAAATTTAATTTAGTTAAAATTAACTTAAATAATAGAAAAAATTAAATTCAGTTACAATGTTACCTGTAATTTCAGTTTTTTTTGGCTTCATTAATTGTCCCATCATTGACATAATATCTTGTCCTCCTTGTGGTTTAGCATTTGCAACATCAAGGTCATGTAATGTAACATCTTGTACAACTTCCTTCTTTTTATGGACATCACCTTTTGGTAAAGGAACGTATTCTTCTGCTTCTAAATCGAATTCAGTAGCGTAATTGTCACTTCTACCTTGCCTCTTAACAGCTCCGCTATTTGCTTCGATATAGATGACATCGCCAGTTTCAACCTTTTCTTTTTGTAATGATTGATAAATTGATGGGTCTAGTTTCAATTGTTTTGTACCCTTTGCCGTTTTTAAACCAATAATAACATGTGATACTGTTTTTCCATATCCTCCGATAGGATTTTCTGTCTCTACCGGAGTCAACTCAGTTACTTCTCCCTCATACACTTCTTTTGTTTCTTTGATTCTCAAACCAATGGCTCGTCTGAAATTTTCCATTAACACTTCTGTTTTTTTAATTTCAGAACTGTACACCTCAGATCCAACCATCGGACAAAAAGGTACTTTGGTTCCAAGTTCTTGAGCAATCGCTAGAGCTATTGCAGTTTTACCAGTTCCTGGTGGGCCAGCTAATAACACAGCACGACCAGCCATTTTTTTAGATTTTATTAAATCTACAACAAAACCTGCTGCCTGAAATTATTATAATTCAAAATTTAATAAATTAATTATATCAATGATTACTTGACTTTGTTAATAGATATAAAATATTCTAACCTCACGAGCTAACTCCTGACCAACTAATCCAGCTGCTGATTGTATAGCAACACCATTTTCGTCAAGACCCAAACCTTTTATATGAGTATGGGCTGAAATTCTTTGTGTTTTTGCAGAGCTTTTAACTTCTTCAATCTTCATCGTTCTAATCTCAGCACAAAATTATTGATAAAACACTGAGCCGGCTTCTGTTACCGTCTTTCAATTTATCAATATATATATGTTTATAAAGCTCATATACACTGCAAGAAACTACACACTAGAAAATGTATCAATTACTTCAAGAGATTCTTAATGTTTATGAAATAAGTATTTGATATAAATAAATGTTCAACATTAATTTGTAATAAACAAATCAATCGAAGTATTGAAATTAATACACGTGACAAATTATACGACACGCTGAATTCTTGACCATGCGCAAAAGACTTGAAGTGATAAAAAGTGACAGAAGTATGATGGCTAAAGACACGGAATGTCTGTAGACAAGAAATTTCTGCGATGTTTATATGTATTTGAGGTTATGTTTACCATTGTTTTTTATTAGTAAATAAATCAACTAGTTAATACTCATAATTTGTAATTAATAATATAACAGAAATAAAAATGCCTAAAGTAGTGTCAAGAAGTATTATTTGTTCTGACACAAAAGATCAAGAAGAATATAGTGAAGAAAAACCATTACATATTTACTATTGTTTATGTGGACAAATGACATTAATTTTAGGTAAATTAAATTTTTTTCAATTTATTATAATACACAAGAAATCAACATATGTTTCTTAATTTATTACTTAAAATATATAGTAATAGAAAAAAATTCAATGTAAAAATAACGTAAAAATATTATTTAATTTGAAATTTTCATTGGTATTGTGCAGAATTAACTAATAGAAAAAAAATTGATTTCATTTTTCAAGATTGTTCCATAGAAAAATTACCATTGAGAAAACGGGATGGTGCTCGAGTAATTGATGGTACCAAACATGCTCATAAGATGACCTGTGAACCTGATGAAATTGTTTATCTAAAACGTCAAGAAGGAATCGAAAAACAACATCGTCAAAAATGCAAAAAGTAAGTAATGTAAAACATTTACATATCTAACTTCAACTTGAATCATCATTATTGATAAAATATATTATTTTCAGATGTGGATTATTATTGTATTACAAGCATGATCCTTTTGCAAATATTGTTTTCATCGTTAAGGGTGCAGTAATTAAAAGTTCTGGAGAAGGACCAATTAGTGATATTTATAACCAAGTTGCCGTTGAAAAACCAAAGAAAATAATGGTCACAAAACACACTAAAAATATGGGTAAATTTAGTTCTGTTACTGTATCAACAATTGATGAAGAAGAAGATGAAATTGAAGCTGTAAGTTGATAATTATTTTATTTAAATATTAATTTTATGTGTCATAATTCATCTTCAATTTAAACTAATTCAACGAATTTCCAATTTAACATTTTTAGCGAGAAGTGGCTGATTCTTATGCAAATAATGCTCGAATAATTGAAAAACAATTAGAAAGAAAAGGCATGACAAAAAGAAAAGCAATGCCACCACCTGAGATAGATCCAATTAAGAGAACACGGCCACGGGGCACATTATTGGACGTTTAATTGTTTTTAACAAAGGGATTGGACGAATGTTACCTGGGATTACCTTATCCATTGTTGTTGCTACACTAGTAACAAAACACTTTCTCTATGTAGTTTAAAACTGAAACATTCAAATTCGAAAGGGTAAAAACGATCTTGTTTATTGTACTTACTAAGGTCATTCTCTAATGTTACAATAGAAAATAAAGCTTATTTTAATGAACTTTATTATAATGATAAACATTATTCGTATAACTCTCTCTTGTCTATGCTAAAATTTTGTTATTTATTCGATTAAATTGAACTAAATTAAATGAATTAAATAATAATTTGTTGAATAAACATCTTGATTTTTATTCCAAAGAGTAGCATGATCTTTTTACTTAGCCCCTGTATTAACCTTATGCCTAAAATTTCATTCATCGTATTTACTCTTTACTCAGCTATTTTTTCCCTGTCCTCATCCTCAAGATAAAAGTTGAGTTGTAAAGAAAAAAACTAGACAAATTTTTCAACTTTCTGTTAAGTCGTGTAGGAAGCATACCATATCGAGCAGTACGAAATGGGGCACGACGAACTATAATCTTGATGAAAGGGAATTGATCAGGGTTGGTGGTCGATTAACAAATTCTAATATTCCCTTCAACGAAAAATGGATTCAGTGATGCAATTTTGCTGGATGATGATACACATTTGTGAATTTTTAAGTGTTGAAATTCCTCTAAGTTACACATGCATAGATTTAGAGAAATATAAGCAATTGTTTAAAATTGTAAAATTTTTAAAATCGTACAATGTTATTACCAAGATTTTGTGTTGTAATTCCTTTAAGTTACACATGCAAGAGAGGTCAAAGTAGTTCAAGTTGTAATCAGAGTATTACAAATACAACTTATGATCTCTGAAAACGATATCATTGCACGTGACTATAAAACTGGATTATAAATTACTTATTCAGTTAAATATTATCTACTTTACAATTCGGTTAAGATTTTCATTTGTTCTTGGTAAAATAATATGCAGTGCAGTTTGAAACTTTCCCGACATGGGAAATTGTTATCCATTTCAAAAAATATCAATGGATTAACTCGACATCTGAGATTAACTACTAAATTATCTACTACTAAATTTGATAAAATTTTTCCTAAACGGGAATTTCAATCGAGACATATTGGTCCAAGAGATCATGAACAACTTGAGATGCTGAGAACTATTGGATTCAATGTAATAGATTACAATGTGTAGAACAGCATTATTATATATAGTAATTCATAGAAATTAATTTTTTTTTAGACATTAGATGAATTAACGAATACTGCAATACCTGATAAAATTCAACATAATCAAGATCTAGATCTTGAATCACCATTATGTAAGTTTATAAAAACTTAAAATATTTAATATCTCATGTCATTTTTTAAAATCATATTTTAATACTTTCAAGTAACAATCATAAATTTTCAATTAGTTTTATATTTAAAAAATGAAGATCCATTTGTTATATGTTCTGAAAATAAGCCATGGAATGAGTGAAACTCCTAGGGTTTATACTATCAATTTTCCAGTAGAATTGCACTACTATAATTATTATTTAATCGATAACAGTTTCTCATCATTATTACCGATATTTAATTTTTATTTATCATATTTCATCATTTCTTATGATATATGACATCAATAACTTTATCTCATTTTATATGTATAACATAAAATCTGTTTGAAAAAAATAATTCTAGTGTATGGAAAAATAGATTATCGACAAATTATTATTAATAGAATTTCATAGTGATAAAAAATGTTTTTCATTGAAAAAATTTAAATTGCATTGATGCATGAATTTACCTTCTAACAAATACAATACTATTTTTTTGTGTACATATATTTACCATATTGATACCATATACCATATACATAGCTTAATTAATTATAATTGCCTTTTACTGGACAATTGATGAGTAATTTTTTTAACAATTAACTTGTTTGTTATGAACGTAATAAAAACAATAAGTTGTGAAATGAAAAGATTTGTGTTTTATTTATAAAAAATAATTGATGTTATAAGAATAAATTTTTTCTATTTGTTGATAAATAATAATTATTTATATTTTGCATTTAATTTCAAGCGGAATATGAGTTAATAAAAAGAATAACTCAATTATCACAAAAGAACAAACTATGGCGAACTTTTATTGGTATGGGATATTACAATTGTTGTGTTCCACCTACAATTATGAGAAACATTTTTGAAAATCCCGGATGGTAAAATATTTCTACTACGATATTATCACAATAATATTTATTTAAATAAACATTTTGTTTATCTTTATCGTATTTATAGGACTACACAATATACACCGTATCAGCCGGAAATAGCTCAAGGCCGATTAGAGAGTCTTCTTAATTATCAAACGATGATTTGTGATATGACAGGCATGGAAGTTGCAAATGCCTCTTTATTAGATGAAGGAACAGCAGCTGCTGAAGCTCTGAGTCTCGCACATCGTCATAATAAACGAGAAAAATTATTTGTTTCTGATAAAGTTCATCCCCAAACAATTAGTGTCATTGCCACTCGAGCTAATTCTTTAGGTTTGACCCTTGAAGTAGGTGATGTATTCCAGGTAGATCCATCTTCTAAATCAATCGCTGGGGTTCTTTTCCAATACCCAGATACAACTGGAGCTATTTATGATTACGAAAAAATTGTTGAAAATTTTCACGCAAATGGTGTAAGTAATCAGTTATATCAATAGTTGAACTATTAGATCATCTCAAACCACTTAGATATAACATGTACTGTTTTTCATGTACTTTCCAGACTTTAGTATGTGCTGCCACTGATTTGCTTTCATTAGCAATTTTAAAACCTCCTGGAGAATTTAATGTTGATATTTGTATCGGCACAAGTCAGCGGTTTGGAGTACCTTTAGGATATGGAGGACCACATGCTGGATTTTTTTCTTGTCGTAATAGCTTAGTCAGATTAATGCCTGGTAGAGTTGTAGGTGTAACTAGAGATGTTAACAACAAAGATGCTTATCGATTAACTCTTCAAACACGAGAGCAACATATAAGAAGAGACAAAGCTACTAGCAACATTTGTACATCTCAAGCACTTCTTGCAAATATGTCTGCAATGTATGCAGTCTATCATGGACCTCAAGGAATACGAGATATTGCTATGAGAGTCCATCATTTAACTTTGGTTCTCGCTAAAGGTTTAGAAATGATGGGACATAAAATACTAAATGAATATTTTTTTGATACTATAACGATAAAATCTAAATTACCGTTAAACGTTATTAAAGCTAATGCAAAAAAAGCAGAAATTAATTTGAGGTAAGATTCAATGCTTAGATTTTAAAAAAAAATTTAATTCTTTAATAACATGATTATTATTATATATTAAATGTTTTTTACAGATATAATAATGATGAATCTATAGGAATTTCATTAGACGAAACAACTGATCTCAATGATGTAAATGATCTCTTAAAAATTTTTAATGTTGATAAAACTGCCAAAGATATTGTTGATAAAGAAATATTAGATGATAAGTTATTGAGAAATTCAAAATTCAACCGTACATCCAAATATTTAACACATCCAATATTTAACATGTATCATTCTGAAACAAGAATTGTTAGATATATGAAAGCATTAGAAAACAAAGATGTATCACTTGTCCATAGCATGATACCACTGGTAATTTTGATACTTTATTTTAACATAAATGAATAAATAAAAATGTATATTAATTTTTGATTTCTTTATAATTAGGGCTCTTGTACCATGAAATTAAATTCTACAACAGAAATGATGCCATGTAGCCTACCAGGATTCGCTAATGTACATCCATTTGCTCCGATAGAACAAGCTCAAGGTTATCAAGAATTATTTAAAGACTTAGAAAAAGACTTATGTGCAATAACTGGTTATGATGGGATAAGTTTTCAACCAAATAGTGGAGCACAAGGAGAATATGCTGGTCTTCGAGCAATTCAGCGTTATTATGAATCAAAAGGTGACAATAATCGTCGAGTTTGTTTAATTCCAATTTCTGCTCATGGTACAAATCCTGCTTCTGCTCAAATGGCTGGAATGCAAGTAGAGCCAATATTAATTGATAAAGATGGATTGGTTGATATGGTTCATTTGAAAGAAATGATTGATAAATATCAAAAAACATTATCATGTCTCATGATAACATATCCTTCTACAAATGGAGTATTTGAAGAAACCATTAGTGATATATGTAATATGGTTCATGATGCTGGAGGACAGGTATATCTTGATGGTGCTAATATGAATGCCCAAGTTGGTCTTTGTAGGCCCGGTGATTATGGTAGTGATGTTTCTCATTTGAATCTTCATAAAACTTTCTGTATACCTCATGGTGGTGGTGGGCCTGGAATGGGACCAATTGGAGTGTAAGATAACTTTTGAATTAAAAAAAAAAAATCTCAATCAATATTACAAATAATAATTGAAACATTAACATATGTTCATCTTTTAAGGAAACGTCATTTAATGCCATTTCTTCCTGGTCATCCTGCACTCGATACTACAGGTAATGGAAATATAGTAGACGAATTAGGAACTGTGTCCGCTGCTCCGTATGGATCATCAGCTATTTTACCAATTTCTTGGGCTTACATTAAATTAATGGGTTCTAAAGGTTTACGTAAAGCTACTCAAGTAGCTATTCTTAATGCTAATTATATGAGTAAACAATTGGAAAAGTATTATAAAATTCTATACAAAGGAGAAACCGGTTTAGTAGCACATGAATTTATTATTGACGTTAGAGAATTTAAAAAAACTGCAAACATTGAAGTTGTTGACATCGCAAAGAGATTAATGGATTATGGATTTCATGCACCTACGATGAGTTGGCCTGTAGCTGGTACTTTAATGCCTGAACCGACAGAATCTGAAGATAAGATGGAACTTGATAGATTTTGCAATGCATTAATTTGTAAGATATATCAATATATGGTATTTATAATGATTTATTGAAATGAGTAATAAAATATGTTTATTACTATTAATTGTAGCTATTAGAAAAGAAATCAAAGATATTGAAGATGGTGAGATGGATATCAATGTCAATCCATTAAAAATGGCACCACACACGCAAGAGCAAGTTATCAACTCTCAATGGGACAGACCATATCCACCAGAGTTGGGTGCTTTTCCTGTGGTAAGTTTTATTTCCACAAGAGCTTGTTCTTATTAATTCTAATTGAATTTTATTCATCTAAATTCTTATATTTTTTTTAGCCTTTCGTGAATGTTCCAAAGATTTGGCCTGTAATAGGTAGAATTGATGATATTTATGGTGATAAAAATCTTTTCTGTACGTGCCCACCAATTGTTCCACAATGAAATTTATTTAAAATTTTATATGTAAATTAAAATATTTATTTGTAATTATATTTGAAAAATATTGATAATCTTAATTATCAAAGTATTTATATTATATAGATGGAAAACTTTTTTACAAAAAACCAGATAACTATATATTATGAATATTTTCGATTAAAAATAAATATTTTTAGAACATAATAATACCGCATTAATGCTTAAATTAAATCTACAACAGGTTACAGTCCTGGCATAATATAAGCGATGTTATCAAGCACTTGTGATAAAACTTCGGGTTCTGCACCATCGATTTCCGGAACTTGTTGCGTGAGGCACATAAGTGGCCCTAGGGCACAAAGTAAAGAATCTAATAAGACGGATAAACTACCAGAAACAGCTATTTGACCTTCGTGTTCCTTTAATCGTTCTCCAATAATCGTCAAGCTTTCTCCTAAAAGTTTCAAGTGAGCTGCAACATCTACAGGCTGTGTTCCAATAACTTTGAACATTCCAACTCCGATTACAGGTTCATTAATGAGGTCCTTTCCACTACGATTAAGTGTTGGTGATGTTGGGCTATTTTCAACCACAGCAGTTGTTCCAAGTTGATTGTTTATTTTTTTTGTGGGTGATTTGGCTTCCTTTCCATTACCTAATGAAATTTTCATTTTTAAAAACACATAGTAAAGATAGTTAAAAAATAATAATAATAATCGGTGATTTCGTGAACGTCTCACCGATTTTATTGATGAACTTCTTACGAGAACCTGTAGGAGAAGTTTTCCACTCAGAATTTTCATCTTTTGCATTTGTTACGTTGCTATTGGGTTTAGCTGCCAATCGTTTTGCTCGCCTTTTCCAATTATATTTTTCTGAATTCGGAACTGTCGCCCAACGCTCTCCTAATCGTTTAGAAATTGATGCAAAATCTAAAAATAAATATAATTCTATGTTTATATACGTTCATTATAATTTTAATAAGTGTTAACAGAAATATATAACTCACCCATATATGGGCATTGTTTTAATAATTCTTGGCGAATTTCTTTAGCCCATAACATGTAAGCAGTAAATCTTGTTTTCTGTCAAAAATAATTACATAATATAAGTTAGTACGAATTAAAACAGGCAGTAAAAACAAAAAACTTTCTATGTATAAAAATTAAACTTACGCCTTTGTCTTTCCTCTGAGCTTTCATACGACCAATAATTTTCCCATCTTTTATTATTAATTTTTTTTTGTACTTTTCCAACATATAAAGGCTATTCGCTTGAGAAGGAGTTTCTTGATCAGGTGGTTCTAATCGTTTAAATCCTGTTTCTTTTTCGTCGATTAATAAAGGATCAACTTCTTCTTCACTAGCTGATTCCATAGAAAATCGATCATCATCATGTAATCCAACATCATCTGAATCTGACCCTGAAGACTGTCCTTCAGTTTCAGAAACAGGCTCTTGTTTTATTTTTTGAGGAATAACATTTTGTGAGCCTGAATTTTTTCGAACTTTTCCACCAATACCAAATTGGTTCACAGTTGTTGATGATTGTGCAAGTTGTTGAGCTTCAAATTTTTCTAGTAATTGTTGTGCATGAAGATGTTGAGCTTTCTGTTGTTTTTTGAATTTACTATCCGCCAAATCATCTGGTGATTCAAAGTCCATAAGCTTGGAGGATTTTTTTCTCACTCTTCCACTTCTGGATACACCAGTAACTTCTAAATCTGTAATATAACGATGAATTAAACAAATATCCATATCAATACTTAAATAAGCTAATAATAACTGTATTTAATGAATAAATGCAGTTAAAGCTTTCATTGGATTACAAAGAAAAATATATGTGCTTTTTCTTACGTCAAAGGAAGAAATTTTTTGTATTAATATGACAAAAATTGAAGATAAATTGAATAAGATTACTGTTTTCAAGGATTCCTAATTAAATAGCTCCAATCATTCGTTAAATCAACAATAAATTATTAAGAATATCACATTATTTTACGAAAGTAAAAATATCAAAAATTGGAGGTATGCATACAAGAAATCTGCAATGTTTGCATATCGACCACTACTAGCGCTAGCGTAAACTAACCCCAGTAATTTTCAATCGTAAAAATGTTTGCAACTTTAGCTGCTATTCAAATTATAAGCATAGATTTTAATTACGTTAATATTAAAATTATATTTAAATAATAAATTGTAATTAAAAAAATCATTTTTGGCATCAAGAATAATTTCTCACCATTTGTTTTTGGACGTTTTGGAGATACAAATAAATCCATTATAGATCACAACAATTAAACAGCCCTCTACTGAGAAACTTTTATACTGTTATAAAACGTTTACAAGTTTTCGTCAAAAACGAATGTCTCCGGGGCTTTAGACAAAAGAAGAAAAGTGCATCTAATGACACGGATAATTGTGTTCAATTATAATTGAACTGGCACCAGTTTGAGATTGATAAAGTCAACCACTACGATAATTAGTTAATCGCTTATTAGAAGTAATAATAATAAAAATTTTATTTCAACAATAGACAATTGAACAATAATAATTTTTTGTAAAACTATCAACGTTGGGCTACAGGAAATCCCCAATAGAGGCGCTGCTGTTGTGTCAATACTCCCACTTTGCTACTAATTCATGCCAATTATTAGGTATTTGAACTTTCAAGATATATTGAAATTTCCAACAGAAAAATTCTGTAAAATGAGAAAACAAGTAGATTTAAATTAATAAAATTATAATAACACTGAATATTGATAATAATCCTTTGTTATAATCGATTACGACATTTTGTTTTTCTAAAAGCTCGAACTTAATAGGTAAAAAACGATTATTCGTAAAAGCTATTTGAGTTATAATTTTAAATTAGCAAAAATGAATTAAATATTTTTGCCAATAAAGTGATGTATAGATAATAATACATCATTAAATCAATGAAAATTTTTTTCATTTGTTTTCAAGATAACAATCAAGTAAACTTAGATTTAGAAATCCTACAAACATGCCACTTAATACAATTAAAAATAAAAATTAATTGATTTACAAAATTCAAATAAAAAAAAAAAAATAATACAAAACAATATTTTTCTCAATTTTCTTAATTTATTATAAATAATAAAAGAACATTATATTATAAATGATCGAGTTAATAAGAATTTAGTTCGTGTAATTAAATGAACCTTAAAATCTTAACTTATGAAAAATGACATATTATCTTGATCACTATAAATTATCCTCTTGAACCCATCCATCTTCTTCTGACAAAAATCTTCTTTTATGAGTTGTATTCATGTAAGGTCGCAAAGCCCATTCAGTATCTGCTGCATCAATGGTATCCAAAGTTCCTAATTTTATTTCATAAAGTTTCATTTGGAAACGTGGACCAACCTCTGTTAATTCTATGTCTTTGCCGTTAACTTTTATGTAGTTGTGATGTCGAAAAGATATATAGTCATCATGATTAGCAAAAGTAATAACTCTTTTACTGCTTTCTTTTGGAACAGGGAACAAATATTTTAAAATATTCATTGTTCGTAATCCAAGTTTAGTTTTAAAATTATGAAAAATAAGATGTGGATATTGTTCAGACATAGTACCTATATCTGGAACATCATGCCTCATGACTACATCGGTCATTGTAAAATATGCCGTTGGACCATAAGGTAAATGACATATAATTAGTGAATCAGGAATGCCTCTATGCTCATGAACCATTATGAAATCAGTAACTTCATTAGCACGACAAGCGTTAATAAGCTGCTTCATTTCATAATTACCACGATTCATCCTCTGTGAGTTAGGAAAAATAAGTCGTAATTCTTTAACGAATTTTTTTAATCTAGAGCTTGGATCTCTGCTAGTTGTAATGACAATTTTTGGATCTTCTACTCCAGCCCACCGATATTCATCATCCTCATGGTTTCCTGTTGATCCACCCATCTCTGTAGACGTAGCCAGTGCCATTTCTGGACCAGCATCTTCCCAGTTTATTTTTCTTTGAAGATATAATGCAGTTTTCCTCAAATCCGGATGTATCTGAGTATTTTCTTCTAAACATTTCTTCAATCGTTCTTTTTTCTCTTGAATACTTTTTAATTTATCTTGAGCAGATTTTCTGTAGAGATATTCTCTTCTAAGTCTTGCTTGTCGTCGTAACATGATGTTGAATTAAAAGTTTTTCTGTTTACTAAATTAGACAGGTACTCATGTATTATTTGACACTCACAAACACAACTCAGAGCTTTTCAAGCTAAATAGACAGTTTTCTGACACTTATATGAATTATCATATTTTTTTTAAACTCATGAAAATTACTATTGATTAATTATTAGAATTATTTAAATAAATAAGATCACAATTAATGTAATTTCATTAAAGTTGAACACAATACTTTAATGGTTATGTTTCAGTAAGGTGATGGTCGAAACGATGCACCCACGTGTTACTGTGCAGTTGGTATTTCAATCACGACATCTACACCAAATGGTTGATATATTATCGACTCATGATACAAAAATTTGGAGTAAAATGTTTTATTTATTTATCATTAAAGATAAAATGATTATATGGTGATAGTTTTTATTTCTGGTCAATTTAATTTTTTAAAAATCAATAATAATAATTTCAAATTACAATGATTGATTGAACAAAATTTAACTGTAATGCATTGAAACCTTTATCGGTCACTAATAACTAGAATTCTGTATTATCGATATGTACCTTTTTTCTTCCTTATCATTGGAAAATATTCAAGGAATCGGTGTAGTCGAGGTGAGTTTTATTTATTTTTAATAAATGTGTAAATAAGTTTAAATGTATATTTTAAAATGATTTTAATATTCAGCTATTTTTTCAGCATTATCCATCAACTGTATTATATATTTTAATTTCATTTATATAGAGATCTTCAGATTTGAGGAGATTTTCGATTTTTCAATTTTCGTAAGTATTTTATTTCTCTCTAAAAATGAAATAGTAAACATCACTGAGAAATAGTGTATTCTTTCATCAATTTTTTCTCTATTCTATTCTATTCTCTTAATAATATCAATAAAAATTTCAGACTTAATGATATTTTTACATTAAATTAATCATTATTATCATTATTACTTCATGTTTTAAATAATAAGTTAAAAAAAAATATGTTGATTCACTATGTATTATAAAAAATTTCAAAAAAACTTAATTTACTTAAAATTAATATCATTTGTCCACGTAAAACTCATTACATATTTACTACAAAAACCGCTAAGTTGATCATTTACATAGAGATCTTTATGTGTACAGATTTGAGGAGGTTGGTGACCTAGCAACAATGACAAGGCATCAATTTTAGAGTTTACAATAATTTTTTAGAATGTAATAGCAATAATATGGTTTATCCTTAAGTTTTATTATTATTTGAATCAATATCACAATTTCCATAACTGATCGAATGATAACATCAAAATTTTTGTTAAAAATTCAATTAAATTTGGGATACTCTCTTAAACTGAACCAGTGAAAACTATTACGAATCAGTGAATATTCACTGATATCCAGTGCCAATCCAATGACTGATTTTTTTAGTGATATTATTGACAGTGGCAATCAGTGAATATTCACTGAATTGCAGTAGTTTTCACTGATTCAATTCAAGAGAGTATAAGATTATTTTTTATTTAATTGAATCGAAATAAGATTTTATTAATGTTCTACCGTTGTTGCTAAGGTGACCAACATCTCAAAGTATATCATAAAAAAATGTAATACATAATATTTTTTGTGTTTCCATGTTACTCAACTATTACTATGATTTGAAATGAACTCCTGAGTCTAGTATGAGGATACATTAGTATGAAATAATAAACTCAATATATTAACCTACATGTTCCTTTTATTGGATTTACTCTGATTCTGGAATTTTTATTGTATTTATTTCCGCATGAAATCATTCAAACCAGAATGTAAAGTTATTCCAAAGAATTTTCCATCCTGTATCTGTTTAGAAAACTTGAATTTTAACAACTACGTCGTATGTTTTAGAAAACTGATTCATTTGATTTGCTGTATTTACATCTGCAATATAGTTGACTGAACTACGTTCACTTTCAATTCACACATGTATTTGTTGTCAGTGGAGAATATTAATCACCTCACCATGATTATCATTCTTTAAAGGTAATTATCACAAATCAATATAATTAAAACTTCAAGTTCAAGTACAAACAAAAATATTACATTTCATGCTTCAATGTTTATAATTTTTTACAGTGTTGTTAATCAATGAAATATTTATTCATGATCATAATTAATATTTCAATTGTATGAATATTTATTCATTTAAATCAGCTGAAGGAATATTCATTTAATTTAGCTAATATAAATATTCTACTGTAAAAAAGTGATATGTATATGTATACATATTTGGACCAGACTGCATGCCAGACAAGCTCAATTACACACCCCGAAAGAATAAAGAAATTACTTGTTAGCAGAATCTGTGCTCATCGAGACATCATTTTCCTCGTACAACGTGAGTGGTCCTATGAGTATTATTGTGAAACAATATATCACTTGTCAGTTTTAATACCATTTGTTGAAAACAATTATTCAAGTTTACTATTTTTTAAACATTCAATGCTTTGATATAAATAACTTTACCAAAATATTACATTTTTACATTTGAATAAATCAACTATTGAATTACTATGCTAAAATATCCATTGAGAATGTTTTCTTCTATTTATTATGTTCTTTTTTTGTCATTGAACAGAGTCTCATTTATAATATTTTTTTTTTTTTGTTAAGCAAGCAAATTCTTCGGAGTATTTCTTTAGCCAAGAGAAGTCTATGACTCCAGGCATAAATATTAAAGAGCATCTAAATCTAAAGAGAGTGACTTTGTCACAGTGAACTGGCTTACTATCAAAAAACTGTAAAAAGAAAGAGATATTGGAAGCCAACACTCGTAAGGCACCATACAATGTGCACCGATTTCTACTTATCGATATCATTACCTACAAAGAGGCTTTCATCATTCTATGTATGTATATATATCTAGATTCTCAATATTCTTATCAGAATAATCATCAAGTAAGACTATATTTCATACTCATTTTAGCTTTCTTATGGGTTACTTTTTTGATGTACAGTTCCAAATAAATATAATGTGAACGTGAAAATAGAGACATATTACGTCTATCAACAAATTGAAAAAATATTTTTATCACTCTACCATTCTTGCCAAAATTATATTTATTGGTGATTTTACGGTAACATTTTAGAAGACTTCAAATGAACTTTGAAAATAAATTAATAATTGAACATACACAGGATGTTGACTGTATTGTTCATTAGACTTGGGAAAAATTTAATACTTAACAAATAATATATTTCTATTTTCATTTAGTGATCTATGGGGCCATCCATGAACCATGTATGCAATTCGATCTCCTCGAGATAAGTTGACTGTTTCTGATAGATTTTGAGTTGAGGAATTGTTTCGAGTAATTATTTTTTTTGATATCTCTAATAGATAAGTCGTAAATCGCATTTAATTATTAAAATTGTTTATAATAAAAAAATAAAAAAAAAAATAACCAACGAATTTGGAAACAATTGATGAGTCATTTATTTGAGGATACAATCAGATCAATATATTTCTTAATTATAATAGTTATTTGATTCTGGAAAATATTTAAATAAATTTATTTAGTTTAGAGCTTAACGGAATAGCTGCGCACTCGCTTTTAGTACAATTGAAGTGTAAGTCTTTAATAAATTATACCTCATGAAATAATAATAATAATACAATAAAAAGTAAAGAAATAAAATTTTTAGGAAGTTGATGTTTTTCAAGGATTTTTCAATAATTTTAAAGGATATCAAAGTATATATAACATAGCCTTAATTAAATGTTTAATTTCATTTATTATATAAATAAAAATTTCTTATATTACCGTTATATAAAAAATTTGATAAAAATTAAATAAATATTTAAATCACGCTGAGTATTCTTCTGAGATTTTTTGCCTTTGGTTTTTTCATTTCCTTGAAATTTTTCTTCCTGCAGCTTCTATCGTTTAAACTCTCAGCGAAAGATATAAAAATTTAATTCCTGGAAGTAGAATGATGTGCGAGCAATGCCTGGGGCTTTACCACTGAGTTCTTTTAAATCCTCCCTACTGATATCTCGTCTTTTTTCTCTTCCTCTTCGTACTCTTTAGTTATGAAAGCTTTTTCCTCCGCCATAAAACTCATTTTGCTATTTTTTTAAGTTGATTCGATTCAACTAATTCTTTTTTTTTTATTGTATTTGTATTTATTATTGTAATTTCTTTATACCTGATGTTCTCAATTGTATTCATTATACAACACAAGTATAAAGGATTGAATGTGAATTTAACATTTATACCATTTTAATTGATAATGTAATCGAGATATTGTAATAAGATGATATGCTTCAATTAAATAATACGGTACATTTCATATCATATTTAAGTGAAATTTCCAATTATTTTTATTAATTAATATCATCATTATTAACATTAATATATAAGATAAATAAATTAGAAATAATTAATATTAATTATTTATATAAGTAAAATATTTTTATTTGAGAAAAGCAATATAAACGAGCACTCCAACATATATTTATATTTATATAATTTATTATTATTATTATTATGTTGATTATTATTTGATATTATTATTATTAATTTTTTATTATTTAAATTTTCTGTTAATTCAAAATTATTTAATGTAGACTTCGAAAGAATTTGATTAAACCTTTATAATTAAACAATGTATTGTTTACAGCAATTGTCAATGATTATGTTTACTTTACTGTCAAAAATTTATTTGCAAAAAATCCTTCGAATGATCTGCTAAATTCAGTGATCAATTTTAATGATTATTATTTATTATCATCACATTTTTTATCATGAATAAATTGCTAATTTTATTTAATGATATTACAGTAGATACTAAAATATTTGTGAAAATAACGATATTTATTTAACCAACTATTTTTTTGTTTTTCATGGTCTTTTGTTTGTAACCCTATCAATCGGTATAATCTATTCTTGGCCGAGCATCCCCACGACTAGTGACGTCACTAAACCATACATCAAACCGTTATCAGTTCGCTGAGACTCCCTTTTTCCTTTGTCGAGGGAAGATGTTGATAAAAAATAAGTAAAGAAATCGAAATAAGCTCTTTCACATATACGTGAAAATTGTAGGGATGAAAAAAACGTTCCAAAGTGTTATGTTTGAAAATTTAGAAATATCAAATTGAGTTTGAAAAATTCAAATTTGATTATATTTTAATAAATAAGAAACCATATTCGTATTCCATGTTTTAAATACATCATGAAATTCACCTTATCATCAAACTTAGATTAAATTCTCAAAAATCAGATCATTTACATAGTTTTGT